CCCAGACATCCCTAAGAAAAAACCCAGACATCCCTAAGAAAAAACCCAGACATCCCTAAGATAAACCCAGACATCCCTAAGATAAACCCAGACATCCCTAAGACATCCCTAAGAAAAAACCCAGACATCCCTAAGAAAAAAACCCAGACATCCCTAATGCTTTTCCAAAATCGCAAATAGTCGGCGCAAAGTGTGGCCGCATTGCCTTCAGATATGCGGCTTCGATAAGCTCTGTTTGAGCTTTGCCCCCTAATTCTGTATAGAGCTGGCGCCCCAAGTTGGTATATAAATAGACAGCTTTCCCAGATTTCATTGATCATCTATACTATTATACAAACATGGCTATTTTGATTGGATACCTTAACAAGGACAAGTACTCTGGATTCAGATTCGGATCCGGGGAAATCGAGTACGTCCTTGGTGTTTCTGTTACGGATGATAACGACTTAGAAAAGGGCAAAGTTGAGGAGCCATCCGACAAGACGCTCTCTGATGAAACTGTTTCTGCTGAATCAGTTTAGATTCGGACACTCGCAATTTTGTATACTATGAGTATACCAAGAGGGTGATGTGAAAGATCTCACCCCAAGATTTTGATTTATGGCAATGGAGATATCTTGTTTGTTGTTGATGAAGTGAGTTGAAAGAGTACTTGTTGTGGACTCGATCATAATTCATCAGATACATGCATTGATGTCTCCGTCGGCCGAGTGATTGATTTACGAATAGAAGAAAAGAAAAACAACTTGTAGTACGAGAGGGAAAAGGTAAAACAGTTTTATCTAAGTTTACTTCCCATAGAAGCTTTTTTCTTCTAGTCATATATTATCGTCCTGACAGTATTGTCGTATGTTTTCTCTCTCTAGTCTTCCCACCACAAAGCGCAGCCAGGGTTCAGCGCAGCCCATTTCACAGCTTCCAGTTCTTGCGGCCTATGCATTGTAGTCACTGACGCACCACTGAGACCTTTATAAACTTTGATAAAAGGAGCTCAAGGATAAATCAAATGATATCGTGCAAACCACTCAACTGTTCAACAGGATGGCTTGCCTGGTCAGCTTTCAGGGATCACAAAGGCTGGTGATGCAAAAAGTGAGAGAACCTCTCTTCGTCTCCGTAGTATCTCCGGCTTTCGTTAGTTATCTCGTTTTTCAAGTTGCGGCACTTCCAATTGGCCATTCTAGTGTCTGTGTCGATTTCTGAGGCCATCCGATAAAAAGGGTCTGCCAACGCAAGACAAAGCAATAACGTGTAGTAAGCATCATTACCGGCATTGTGCAAGAAAGCGAATGGCTGGCGAACCAATCTCAAGGAATCCTTCAAGCTGGGCTGTTGCTGTCCATGGGTGAGGTTGAGTACTGCAGCGGTATCGATTAACGGGCAATTTCCGTAAGAGACACCCATTTGCAGCAAGTAATTTAAGTCGTGTTTCATCGCATGGCCTATCAAGCAGACACCATTTCCAATTGGTTGATTTTCAAAGGAGTATTTACTGAAGACCTCCGAGATGGAATTTGCTGCTTCTTCCAATGTCATGATTAAGGTTCTTCCTCCATTGAAGTTGTCGGCATGATCAGGAACATAGGTTCCATTCCTTAAATGCTGATTTTCCAGTATGATTATGTGAGTCAGCATAATGAAGGGTATGATGCTACCCTTTTGGGACCATGGGTCATAGACGGAGATACCGATCTCTGTGATCTTGGAATTGTCATGCTCAAAAGCTTCAAAGTCAATCGATATAAGAGTCATCTCCCTATTCTTTACGTCTCTCATGACGTGCTTCAAATCCCATTCATCATCGTCATCGAGATAGCTACACTCGTTCAACCATCTGGCGTAATACCCAATGCTGCAGTGCTCGCGCTGCTTTTGCACTTGAACGAAATCTTCGTATCCGTAAGCTCTTAATGTGTTTTGTTGAATGCCCATGTTAATATGGCTAGGGGCTTTGACGATAAGTTTTTCACCAAGTGTGAGCCAAGGTAGAGATGATGAAATGTCCTGTAGACAAGGATGTGCCCGATGACCTATCATATGCTATTTCATCCCCCTGAGTTGGTATGCATCCTTTCAATATAGGAGACCCATTCCTCCTGGGAGAACAACAAGACAAAACCACGTTTTAAAACGATCCTACCGACCCCCGTTAACACTTCTAAACTATATCCTTTCTTCTAGTTGCGTATTATGTGAAGGAAGTCCCGTATCGAAGCACGAAGAACAAACTGCATATCGGACTTATGTCTTCGGGGCTCCACTGGTGTATTGATACACAAATCCACCGACGACGTCTCTTTGGATGGTCTTTTGTGTGGCGGCGGTTTCCTCATCGAAGCATATATAAGAGCCGATTCTCCTTTCCACGATCACCGACCTTGTTTTCACGTTTTTCACTCTTGTGACCCACTACATACTCGCCTATACTACGTTCCATAATGGTCGAACCTAGTACCCGTCCAGTTACCCAAGGGATCTTTTCCTCGGTCGGGCCTTCCACTGAATACAAATATGTCGCTGTGCGGGTCTCTGGCCTCCCTGAAGTTTGTTTGGCACGAGAGGTCATGGAAAGCCTCCAGCGGGTAATAAGCCCTGGAGCGAAACTTCCTATCACCAAGAGATTAAAGACCGTAGCAGACTTTGCAGAGTGGTATTTCCAGTTCACCCAATGGGTCTACTCCTTGGATGCATGTGTTGACCACTTCTTAGGTGGTTTGATAAACCGTGGCAAGGCAGATGAGACGGTCAAAGGCTACTACGTCAACTGCACCGATGAAGAGCTTAAGCAATTGACAGCGAGGATCCATTGTGTTCTCCATCACGTCATTACTGAGTCAGTCGGAGGAGCCGCTCTTGTTGATACCGACAGAAATAGTGACATTCCACACATTATGCAACTGATCATTCGTTATGGTTATTCTTCTCCCTATGCTAAAAATGTTGCTGAATTGAGATCTTATGCTAAGTCATCGAAAGGTTCGCACAACTACCGTCGTCACAAGTCAATTTACGGTTCTACTGATTGGAAGTTGAAAACGATCGCGAAATGCATCAACCCTGCCAAATACACTGACCTTCAGTTGGTGGAATTGTTGAAGCACATTGACGAGTCCAACATTGACGCCCAACATGAGGCCGCCTTGGCTTCTGGTATCGCCAATAATTACTTCTCCATGTCCTGTATTCACGCTTGTATGTGGCAGATGATAAAGTACAAGCTCGACATCAAGAAACATGACAAGAATCAGTCCAGAAAAGGTCGCAAATCAGACCAAAAGAAATCATGTACTACTTAAAAGCCCCAACTTCTCTCATGCAAGTGGGAATGAAGCAATATGCTATTTGGGGAGCTTTTTGATCCGAATTAATTCACAGCATTGGTCCCACATACCGTTCACTACAACTTCCATCTACACAGCCATGTCGCTCTTTCAAGAAGCAACATGCATCTCCAATTAAGTTGGTAAAACCGAAAAATTACCTATAAACCCCTCTCTCTTTGGCCGTGCCACCACTCAACTGCAAACTTTCAAGCTACTCACTAGGCACGTAGTCTCCGGTCCTGTAGACCTCCGATGCAGCTTGCATCAGATCGTCCTACAAGACAAGTAGTCAAATGATACCCCCCTCTCCCCACCCTCTCCTGGCTGCGAAGCCATTCTGGAGCACCAGTAATGTTAGAAAACATCTCCCAACATCACTCAATAATTGGACATTCTGTCACCATTACCTAAGTGGGGTTATCTCATAGCCCTCACTATCCAATGTCCCACATGGGCGTGTCTCTACACCCCATGCTAGCCATACCTTGGCCCTGCCAACGACTCTCACATGGACGTACATTTGGCATTCCATGCTTGTGTTATGTCTCACGGTGGTCTAACACGTCACCGTATCCGAGAAGGCTTGGAACGACTAAGCGCTCGCACCCAACACCATAACCATCAAGCACAGACTTGGCTGGACTCACTGAAACATTACCCAGAGAGAAGAAAAAAAACGCATTTCCTTCGCCCATCGCTGGTAATGAAGGCCAGTATTGAGCCCAGCACGTTCCTTGCTTCCCAATTTCATGGGCAAGCAACAAGTGGCCGTCCGACCTGTCAGTAACAGTTTACAGTACCCTGGAGGGCGCCGTGCACTGGACCGAGCAGATCTTCGGACCTCGGCGGGGGTGCTATCAGCTGAGGCGGGCATCTCTCGTGGATCCCCCTCTGGCTGTGACGATATAGCAGCCCCCTCTGGCTCCGTTGAGCCCGTTGAATGCGGTGGTAACTTTTCCTTTGGCCGCTCAACAGTGCACTCTGCACTCATCATCAGCTCCTGACTCATCATAGCTGATTGCGGTTGATACATTTCCTTAAGCCGCCCTCCAGTGCGCTCTGCACTCGTTACCAGCTCCTGACTCATCATAGCTGATTGCGGTTGATACATTTCCTTAAGCCGCCCACCAGTGCACTCTGCACTGACCACATCCTCTGTGGATTCCATGTCATGGAGGTTCATGTCTCCAGACACCTGATCATCTACCTCAGATAGGACCGACTCAACATCAGACTCCGCTTCGGACACAGATGCTCGATCCATCGGCTCTGAGGCAGCCGAACCCTGAATATTGTGATCGTCCAACGTAACTGCAGCAGGTTTACCAACAAGCTCAGACTTGGTACTCGACCATTTCAAAGGTTCGTACTCAGGATTTCATGCCCGCAACAAGTCATGTAAGACAGGTGCAGCATCCTTATCAGTGTAATCCTTGGAACTATCCAATCCCACTGATAACCACGTCTTATACCCATCCAGAAGCCGTTCTTGCTCTTTGAGTGTATCATAATGATTTTCAATGAGAACATCACGCTCGGCTGGGTCATAAGCATCAGCCAACAACTGATTTGCATCATGTCACTGGCAGCTTGGTTAGGCGTCAAGTACTCACCGATACTGCCAAAGACAAGGTTTTTAGCATGCTTATCAAGTATCTTCCTCTCGATGCACTCCTGAAGAATGGAGATTTTACCATGCAACTTACCTTAGTAACCGAATACAAGTAAACGATTAATGAAGTAGGTCACAGATCTCACATTCCCAGGCACATGGCAGCAACGAAAGTCCGCTACTCAAAAGCAATGTCCGAGTCTTTAAGGTGACAGCACAGATCGTCCTTTCAGCCCATCCAATCTGAAAAAAAGATTTCATCTCGTTTGGGTTCGTACCATGCCTATCAAGTATCTTCCTCTCGATGCACTCCTGAAGAATGGGGATTTTGCCATGCAACTTACCTTAGTAACCGAATACAAGTAAACGATTAATGAAGTAGGTCACCGATCTCACATTCCCAGGCACATGACAGCAACGAAAGTCCGCTACTCAAAAGCAATGTCCGAGTCTTTAAGGTGACAGCACAGATCGTCCTTTCAGCCCATCCAATCTGAAAAAAAGATTTCATCTCGTTTGGGTTCGTACCATGCCTATCAAGTATCTTCCTCTCGATGCACTCCTGAAGAATGGGGATTTTGCCATGCAACTTACCTTAGTAACCGAATACAAGTAAACGATTAATGAAGTAGGTCACCGATCTCACATTCCCAGGCACATGACAGCAACGAAAGTCCGCTACTCAAAAGCAATGTCCGAGTCTTTAAGGTGACAGCACAGATCGTCCTTTCAGCCCATCCAATCAAAAACCTTTTTCATCTCGTTGAAACTCAAACGAGTCACACTCGATGTAGCCATACGATTAGTAGCCTCTGGTCCCTTCTTTCTGTGACTCAGGAGTTCATCTTAAACAATCGCCCCTTTGCCCACAATAACAGTTTGTGACTGCTACTGCAAAATAGAAACAAGTCCATCTTCACCTCAATCAAATCTGGTCCAATAGACGCGTCAACAGAAGGTACTCCCTTACGAAATGTTGAGCTTCCACATCTAGTGCACCAGACTTAATTAAATTTATGCAGTTTCCACCATATTGGTTTTCTATCTCATAACCTTGGTTACTTCTGGAAGTACTTACTGTTTGTGAAGTAGTAGATACCGTTGCAGTGAGGATTTTTTTATATTTGGATTTGTTGCAGGACCAAGGTCGGGTAACTTCTCACTAAGCGGCACAAGGTGTTCAGGTCTGGGTCAAGTCAATGAGACTATATTCAGGACAGACCGAGAATGTGAACAATAAGACGCTCGGGAATGAGCTGCTCGTCAAGCTGCTCGTCAAAAGTTATGGGGAAACTAGATTTACAATGTCTAGCACTGCACAGATTGACTATGTTGACTTAGCTAGTGGTGTACTGGGTGTCGCTGCTCAACACAAGGTCTATGGTGAATGATTTTCACGTGAGCACATATCACGTGTATGTTCAGAGTAGGAAGAACAATTAAATCAGTGGAAAAGTCTTTAATAGAGTAGCCAGACTAGGAGGAGTATAGTGAATTCGGACCATGCCTTCACGAAGGGGGATTACAATAGGATATCTATATCGAATAGTCACGGAAACGTAACACGTGACCTTGTATGTGGATTTTCTCTAAGGAAAGAGACACAACGATGAACGAAGTCGACCTGTTTAGAGGCTGATGAATAACCCTTTCCAGCTCGAAGCCAACATATCCATGGAGGCAGTGCAAAATCCGTCTCGGAGACACTTGCTCAGAATCTTCAGTGATAATATGCAATACGCATGCCCCACTACAACACCTAGGCTTAATCAGATACATCCCCCGATGCTCTAATTTCATAGATCTTTCTATTACCCAAACAACGTTCATTTGTGATTGGCTTGTGGTGGTTCAAACACTCCATTTACTCAGCCATGCAATGCCAATACACCCCCGACGGGTCATCAAACCTGTCTGTTCTTATCAATCTTCCCACTATCGCTATAATGGGCATATTCGATTGGTTTGTGCTCAATCAGATTGAAAAGGTGATGCGCCGTAGTCCCAAAACTACTCTTCCAACTACGTTTGATGGTCCTAGAAGCCTTGATGAATGGTATTATGACTTTACGAAATGGATCTGGGCCCTCGATCCCTGCTTCGTTCATTATATAAACGGGTTAATCGACTACAATGGTGTTCTGGAAGAATTAAGGATTCGCTACAGGAAGATGGACAGAACTTCTTACATCACCTTGTTCAAACAGATCATCGCTTGCCTTGATCACGTCATCTTGGGTACGGTGTCCAGGAAATACAAAAGAAAAATGAAGCCTGGAGAGCCACTTGAATCGCTAAGGTTGATTCTTCAATATGGAAAGGAGGACGACGCTGCAAGAGAAGTTTCTCGGTTGAGATTATTCGCAAGATGTATTAGAACTCCAGATTACAGACGCTATTTTGCGATTCATGGTCAAGTCTATCCGACAACAATTATCGTTTATGTGCTAATCAATCCAAAAAATTATTCTGATGAAGAACTCAAAAAGATTTACATCACGGCTCGCGAAGAATCCATTGAGGAGGAGTTCAAAAAAGCTGATGAGTCCCGTCGCTTCTCTGACCTCGACAATGTTGAAGATAACTTTGTAAGGATAGTGCACGAGTCTTTAGAAATTCGAGATGTGAAGAAAGGAAAGGGTGGTGATGGAAGACGTCGTCAGAAAAAAAAGAAAAAGTCTGCCGTCAAACGTACTACCAAAGGGGGAAGTTCTCATACTACTAAAAGACTTGATCAATAACGACCCGCTATAGACTCTTCATTGCATTCTTGCATTTGAGTCAAGTGGTAAGGGAGGCCAAAGCTTGCCCCCAACTTTTGAGTTACTCCACATTTAAATTGCTAAATCTCGAAGTGGTATCCTAAAAAGTTCGAACTCCCCGGAAGTGGGATCTTTTAAAAAGGACTCCCCTACTAGAGAAATATTAGCCTGCTGGTCAAAGAGCTGGTTGCAAACGTTAACGAGTTGGCCTTGTTCCACTCCGTACTGTGGCTCCTTATCTTGCGTCGCGGCTTTGGCGTTGCAATCGTGAACTTACCACCCCTCCTCGATTCAATTTTTGTTCGCTTTAATTAAAGTGACTGGATTTTTTCTTCTTTCAAAAAAACTGTGCATCACTCAACAAAAAAAGCCAATTGGAGCTTATCTGTGACAGGTCTGTTTCAGTCATGGCGCCGCACCAATAAAGGATGCAGGTGACAGCCTGGGACCTAGGGGGTTTAGAATCTTTGCCACGCGGAAAAACATACAAGTTATTCTTCCTTGATTCCCCAAATGGCATTTTCAAAAAACCTTTTTGGAATTTTTCAAATCGACTGCGTCAAGGGCGGTCCAGCCGATATGGCTGAATTAATGAATTCTCAGGGCAGGTATGATGATGCAAATCGTATCAATCGAAGAATACCGGACATTCGCCAGATTGAAGCCTCTCCAGAAGGGCATGATAATTCGGAAGTTGTCGATCAAAGAGACCCAGGAATGACTCGCCACTCCTTTGAGTGGGGTCCATTTGCGGGTAGCGTTTCGTATAGCTCCGATAACAAGGACAAGCAGGATTAGCTCCTCAGTGAATGCTTACAAGTATAGCCTGGTATAGATATTCGTATGATATAGAATTTCCTCGACAAGTTGGGGTTGAAAGAGTCTAGTGTAGAGGTTCAATTATAAAGATAAAGAGTCTCAGTGTGACGAATTTTGAGATATTCAAATTAATTATGCTTAATACATGTTTGTCTGATAGTTTTAAATATTCACTTGCGCCTGTCCAGAAGGTCTCATGTGTGTGGCAGGTACCGCATTTGAGATACCCACACTGAAGACAGAACTGAGGTAGAAGATTGGAGAAAAATTGCAGAATCAAGTATGTTTCACTTTATTTTTCGATTTTTAGGACTTTCACATAAAAAGGGCTCCGTTTGGATTTTTGGTGGCCGGTTTGATTTCTCCATTTATGACTCGCCTGCAAATGCGCGAGTATACAAGAAAAGTAGTAGTCAATTTCCGAATAAGCTCAACTTGTAAAATCAAGAAAAAAAAAAAAATAAAACTTTTTTATCCATAATAAAAGAATCAATTGTATGGAAAACAAAAAAAGAGAGAGTTTACGAGATCACCCGATCGATTCTGGCTTTTTAAAAAAAAAATGTTTCAAGCATTTGGCGAAGCCATCGTATGGCGGCAATTACATGGCAGGATGACCTCAAGTATAGTTTACTTCATTGATGTTGTCGTATATAGCGCTTTTGAAGTGTTTATCGGTCTTCCGAACGATCCTTGACTCATATCCATGGGCTATTAGGAATTGAACTTCGATCCCTTCCTTCTCAAGCCAAAGATTTTCTTGAGCCAGTTTAGTATATGATCGTCATCGTCCTTGAAAACAATTTGGGACTTTTCACGCTCAGCAATCTTGACCGCTTTTTCAGGATCCTCAGAGCCAGATTTGTGGTCATCCAAGTTTTGAGAATCGACTAAACGATGGTCCCGCAACAGCATTATAAAGAAGAGGATCGGAACACAGAGACAAATGGCCACAATACAGAGCTTCCTCTGAATAGACGCATACGCCATACTAACAGCCCTTCTAGGCTCCGAACCCCACGGGTAGTCTTCAATAAAATCATATGGCGATGCATAAGCAGGTGTAGCAAGAGAAGGATCAACATCTAATTTGATCATCTCTTCACGAATGGCCGCATACATTGTTTGTGTCCATATGGCTCCTGAAATACATCTCCCAAAGGCTGATCCAATGGTGATGAAGGTACCAAATATGGCTGTCACAGGGCCCATGTATTCATGATTAGTGCATGCCTGGAGCGAGGTGGTGGTGAGTCTGTAGAACATTGCCTGAGCAACTCCAGAAATACACATAGCTGCGGCTACTCCATCACGATAATACTTACCATTGGACCCATCGCTTGATCCCCGGAAATGAACAAATAGGCCCATAGCAATAAGCATAACAAAGTCTCCAAGTACAATGAAAGCTTTGGTTCTCCTTACTTTAGTGAGAAGAAGCCCAACTATGGGAACAGTGAGGCCTTCAACAAACGTGTTTAAGGTCGGAGTTCTGGTGGCGACAGTGACAGATGCATTCATGCCCACAAGTAGAACAGGATAGGCATAACTGCCTGGAGTGGAAGAAATAAGCGTACTAAAGAGACTGACTCCAAAAGCACCCCACACGCCTCTGTCCTTCATAAGTTGAAATGGAAGCAAGGGTCTTTTGGTTAGCTTACTTTCCCAAACGATGAAGATAGGAACAGCAACAAAACCCATCACTAAGGGCACAATAGTAGAAGCTTGTCTCCATTTGGAGTTCACACCACCAGCGAGTGTCAAGGGTACCAAGAAGAGTCCTAGAATGAGGCCTATCAAAAGGCAACCAATAAGGTCCATGTCCCACAAAATAATTTGCAACCTTTTGACGATTTTGATTGATATCAACTTGGTGTTGGCCCATAGTTTGCGGAAGATGGACTCAGACGAGAGTGCCTCTTGGTGAAATCTGGTTGCTGTAGCACTACCGCTAAGAAAGGCCTCCTTTCGCTCCTTCGAGATAACCTTCCATGTATCTGTTTTCCTCGACTTCCAAATAAGATGAAGATATGTCAACATGTACGGCAAACATGCCAAAGGGGTGGTAAACGCCCAGAGAGCAATACCAAACCTCCAGGAGTGTGCTCTCAATATGGAAGATGTTATTTCTCCAATTGACCAAGTGGTGACCACAGATGTCATACACAATGCCGAAAGAGCAGCAAATCTCCACCTCAAGGTAGAGGCATCTCCAATGCTGACCTGCCAGACTAGTACCATACCCGAGCTCCCAATTGAGTAGAAAACCGTGCCTGCAGCATACTTTTGTATATCCACTGCCTGGGATTGGATTATGGTACCCATTGTCTTAATTATCAAGGCTACAACGAACAACTCAAGGCGACCAAACACATCCGAAGCTCTAGCAAAGAAAGGCAACGATGCTGCCATGGCAACCTGGCCTATAGTAGTGACAGTGGACATAAGTGAGTGTTGCTTATAAGAGTTCGTTGCATAGCCCACGAAGACATTGGTTGCAAATTGCTCCGTCACCATGATGAACATTCCAAGAAAGATGGCAAAGAAGTAGAAGAGACGGTGCCAGCGACTTTTCATTTGAGCAAGTTCAAGCTCAGATTTTCTGATACCAAAAGACTTGGGCGTTATCGGCTGGGAATTTAATGAAGCGTTGCTCTCTGGCACATTTGGATACTCGGCTTCTGAGCTTTGAGACTCACTTTTTTCAACCTCGAAGACATCTTTTTTGCTAGAAGTTGTTGGAGCCAACATGTCTGTTGATGTTGAAGTTTTCAATTAGGAAAAGCCCCCAGAAAAGCGGGCTTTCATATATGAATCCTGGAACTCGTAAATGCATAAGCCCTCTTGGCTGATTGTCTCGTGAATATGCCATGGGGCCTCTTTACCAGTCTAGATTCGAAGTTTCCTGCTTCACGTACATCCCCTTAGTCAAAAGCAGCCCGCTAATGCATCCCCTGAAAGAATTTCATCGAATAGCACTCAAATTTAACAGTTTTCCACCTCAAACCCGTTTCTCCGTCACTACATGCATAAGGGGTCCTGTCTGAACAGGTCGCTTGAATGTGCCAGTCATGTAATAAGCCGCACCTACAAGAGAACCAATCAATTGAAAAGCCATGTTCGGTGATGGGTGTATTGCTTCCCCTCAATCAATAGAAGCTTAGAAACGGGCACATAAATTTATCGATTCTATATATTGTGGCTTTGGGAGACAAGCAATAGTTATTCCATGTAGACAGCCACATGATTTCACCAAGGGTCTTATGTCAGCCGCACTAACTGCAGCGAATTGGTTTACCTTAGATCAATAAGATAATTATTACGTGCACGCGGCAATTGTCCACTTCATGAAAATTGGGTAGTCAAATGTCATCAAAGAAGGCTGGAAATGCTCAAGAAAGTCAATAAAATGCATGTTAGCGGATTGTTGTAAAAGTTGACTTCATCTCTTGATTATTATTTGCCATAAATCACCTCAGAGAAGTAAAGATCCTTGAAAGGGTCGATGATACTGCTAATCGAACCGTTCTACACAGCTTATAGTTTTCATACGGTACTTGATAACTGATTGTGGGTTTGGCTGATTAGAAAATCCAGCCGAAAATCTTGTTGTAAAGCCAGCGGAAATTGATTGGATTTCCCTTTGCCTCTCTTGCAGCACGCTCCTCAGCGTCTTTGGCCTGGAATTGCTCCTCCTGGTAGTCGAAAGCCTCACGGAACGAAACGAGATCAATCTCACTGGCTGGAATGATCCTAGTCTTCTTCCAGAACTTCCATCCAAAGTACATTATGAGAAATACAGGAAGCATAATGTAGCCTGTGATGAAGGTCTCGTAGTCAAAGGGACTTCCAAGGAAAACGGTGAAGTTCTTTGCGAAGATCACGAACACGCAGATACCAAGGGAAAAGTATGTGCCAAAAGGCTGGAGTGGAGAGCGGAAAGCCAAGTCCTTTTTGCGATCAATGCCCTGTGCTTTGACGGCACTCATGAACCTCATGTGAACAGTAAGAATGCATGCCCAGGCTAGCAAACCTGCGAGAGAAACGACGTTAACAAAATGATCAAAAACGTCTGCAGCTTCTGAAGAGGTCACCATGAAGGCCAACAATGCAAAGGCGAAGGAGAGCATGATTCCGTAGTATGGCACGCCTCTCCTATCTGTTTTCGAAAAGAACGATGGAGCGTATCCAGACACCGAGAGTCCATATATCGTTCTGGAGGAAATGTACATGTCAGCAACAGCAGCGGAGGAAACGAAGATCAAAATACAGACGTTGATGACATGGTCCAAGCCTTGAATTTGGGCATTGAAAATGGCAATCACAAAAGGAGACGCTGAAGCCGTAAGTCCACTGGCACCCAAGAGCCGTTCATCGTCATAAGGAACACACATACCCAAGACCAACACATTGAGGACGTAAAAGATCACAATACGGTAAAATGTCAACCTGATTGCTTTGGGAATGGCTTTTCTTGGTCTGGCGCATTCAGGAAATGTGATTCCCACCAACTCACAGCCAGAGTACGCAAAAACACTAGTAACAAGCACAGAGATAAAAGACACAAATCTGCCGAGATCCCCCTCGATGTGGAGATTTCTCAGGGGCTCTGCGTACTCTCTGAATGCCCCAGGGTCCTGCCAGTAACGGAAACCAAGGCGATCTCCAGTGGGTCCACCTCCCAAGGCAATGACAAGCAATAAGATGATGAGCCCAAGACAAGTGCAGACTTTGGTCACGGAGAACCAAAATTCGACCTCTCCAAAGAAGCGAACACCGAGAACGTTGATGGTGGTGATGAAAACCAAAAGCACCGCTACCCAGATACCCGGGTTTGCTCTTTCAGCGGAAATCCAGTATTGTATCGTCAAGGCACCTGCAACCAACTGGTTGGCCGCTACCAACAAACACAAAAACAAGTATGTCCATCCACAAGCAAAGCCAAGTGCTTCATCGACGTATCTGCGACAGTAACCAGCGAATCCATCAGCTAGAGGAATGTGTGTTGCAACCTCGCCTAGACCGTTGAGCACCATGTAAACGACAAAGCCAATGACCGAGTAGCTTAGAAATATGGCCGCAGGTCCAGAAGACCTCAAAGCAGAACCGGTTCCAATCAACAAGCCAGTACCAAGGGCACCTCCAATAGCGATCATGGAAAGATGCCTTGCATCCAACACACGCTTCAATCTGTGGTCCTCAGCAGCTTGAGACTCTTGGTGACGAGGCGAGATGTTCAAGGCCTCTCCGGTAAGGCCCGAAACCGCATCGTCGCTTTCAATTTGTTTTTCGTAATCCTTCAGATCGGATCTCATGATAGCAGTTGTGTTCCCCTGGCGACGAATCAGCAGCCATTAAATACTCAGTCTTATCAATTGGCCAAGAAAACCAACGGGGAGGCTAACATGACGGTATTCTCGAGTCCAAGAGAGTTTTTCACCTTGGTACACCTTAATCTAGCGGCTTATCAACAAAGGATGGGGTGCCAAGAGAGAGCGCTTGATTTGGGCAACACCGGGCGATCGGTTCGTTTTGAGGCTGTTCAGCCGGGCGTGAGATCCCAAAACAATGGACTCAGAGAATTTTGGTAAAAAAAAGTCTGGTGAAAGTCTTCGTTGTATTGTGTGGTTGCGCCATATAAATTCGCAGCCACTTCTTCACACTTGTAAAGATTTCAACTCAAGTAAAAGTAAACCCCGTCTGTGGGGCAGAATGCCGTTTGAACCCTGAAGCCTTCTCCAATTCCTCTCGCTGTCGCTTGACGCTTCGGTCTTCTTCCGCTATTCCCCAGCTTAGAACAAACGTCGCCAAGACCTTGGTCATTACCCTTCTCCGCCTTGCTTATCAAAACCCCATGCTGTTTGAGGCATCCATTGTTCTTCCGCTCGTGCTTTACTCAATCAGACCGTTCGGTCCCCTCAGATGAGGTGACTTTTGGGAGATGTCTTGAAGATTGACCAAAGAGGAGGTGTTGCTCATTGAGAGATCGTGGCAATTGCGCTATTTGTGGAGTATGAATTGCAAAACGCCTTTCAAAGAGTGAAAGGATACTGGATTCACAAAAAAAGATAGCACCTAATTGGTTGTTGGGAGCGATTGACCTAGACATGCGGCTGAGACCGTTTCCGCTTTAGACGTGATAGTATGCGACGCTCGTAACATCCAGCGTCCAATAGGTTTTTTAAAAGTTGAATCGACTGTTTCAAGTACTTGCGATCTTGCTCAGCTCTTGGTCACCTTTATTTTGATACGTTCGTTATGGTGCACCTGGAGTGAGAGGAGAGTAGGGGAAGATGCGGTGCACAATCTGAACAGGGTGTGTTTAGTTAAAAAACAACATTGATTTAAGGCCCAAACTGACTCATAGTCATCACCGTAAGTTCTATGTTACTTTCCTCCGCTGGTTTAACCTTTCGAAGGGTTTTGCTTGAGTGCTTCTGAGACACCTCTGCCTCAAAGTTGACGACGAAGAAAGAAGACTAAACTATAAACACATCCTTAACCATATAGAGAGCCTTTTTCAATCTAATCAACTAAAAATCCATTTACAAAATCTACCCGAAATCGGGCAATTCACGTGACCAATCACGTGCACACACCCAAATCCTTGTATTGGTCCCATTCCACCCCTTAAATTACCTTTTCTATGTATTGTCTATCTTCCAAGCTTCAGCCGCTCTCTCCATGTGCACATGGCGTTAATTTTCCCTCTATGGGTGTGCTGACAACCTGCCGTCTATCATTGGTGCTCGCGATCTCTATCAGCAGTATATCTCATCTTAGTCATCCATCAACACCTACTTCCTCCTTCAACCTATGAGTGCCATCCTATCAGCGGACGACCTTAATGACTTCATATCGCCCGGTGTCGCCTGCATCAAGCCAGTAGAGCTGACTAACCCGGAAAACCAGGAAGCGGGAGAGGTCGAGATACAAATAGATGAGAAGGGAAATCCTCTAGAGATATCCAAGATCGATGGCAAGGCCGCTGCGCTTTCTCCAGCGCAAATTTCTTTGGCAGATTGCCTAGCATGCTCTGGCTGTATTACATCTGCCGAGGAAGTGCTTGTGGCCCAGCATTCACATGAACAGCTCCTACGAGCTATTGAGGAGAATCAGACATCGAACAAGGTGTTTGTGGCGAGCATAAGCCACCAATCAAGGGCCTCCTTGGCCCAGGCATATGGATACTCGGTGGCACAGATGGATCGTTTATTGGTCAACTTGTTTGCCAACCAGATGGGATTCCAGTATGTCGTGGGTACTGCCTTGGGAAGAAAGCTCTCTTTGCTTCAAGAAGCTCACGAGATGTTTGCAAGAAAGCAAGGCGGCCAGAAGGGACCAGTATTGCTGTCAATCTGCCCCGGGTGGGTGCTATACGCGGAGAAGACACACCCTCACGTCTTGCCCATGCTTTCTGCAACAAAGTCACCTCAGCAGATCACCGGGTGTCTCCTCAAAACCCTCGTTGCTCGTGATTTGGGAGTTTCTCGAAGCGACATTTACCATCTTTCAATCATGCCTTGTTTTGACAAGAAGTTGGAGAGTGCCAGACCGGAAAACACCCCAGTGGAAACGTCTGCTCCTGACGTGGACTGTGTTTTGACAGCAAAGGAGCTCGTGAACCTTCTTGAGACGCTGAAGTACGAACTTTTACCGCCAAACGCCGCTAAGGTTGCATCTCAGACCTCTAATATCTATCACCAAATGGCCCCGCCTTCGTGGCCTTACAAAGAGCTCTCTTGGGCTAACGACTCAGGATCTCAATCCGGCGGCTACAGCTACAACTACTTGATGCTTACAAGAAACCACATGATGTGTACTCAGCCGGATGTCTATCGCGAGGAGGATTTTGAGGTGGTGAACGTTGAGGGCCGTAACCTGGATACGTATGAGATGAGGTTGATGCACAAGCCGTCTGGGGACAAGATTGCCTCTGCGGCGGTAGTCAACGGCTTTAAAAACATTCAAAATTTGGTCAGAAAGCTCAAGCCAACTCCCGGCGGAGCTGCCAAACAAGGCAAAGTTAACCCCCTTGCAGCTCGAAGAAGAGCCAGAATGGGAGGAAAAAATGGCACCTCAGGACTGGAGGCACCTTCTGAAGTTTCAGATGCCTCCAAATGTGACTATGTCGAAGTTATGGCATGTCCTGATGGGTGTATTAATGGAGGTGGTCAAATAACCAGGCCACAGGACGTGACGGAGAAAGAGTGGCTTTCTCAAGTCAAGGATATTTATCACAGCATCGGGGCAGTGGATCTCTCAAGCATGGACAATACAAAAATGGCCGAAGAAATAGAGAAGTGGGCCACGGGCTTCTGTGAGGAATCCAACATCCCTTCGGAGCGCCTCTATATCACACACTTCAACGAGGTGGAGAAGCCCACAGACCCCAATGCTGTACTTTTGGGAGCAAAATGGTAATAGGAATTAATAGAACGGACGGATCAGAAACTGTAGGATTGCGATGGGACGATCGAAGTTAACTTCGGAGAATGCCGATCAGAGTCAAAGTCGGCACCTTTTAGTTCAAGCACCTCTTTCAGGGGAAAATGGGGAAGAAACTACAATATATATAGAGAATGGAATACGAAACCTACCGTCGGCTGCATTTATCCTGGAAGTTCGAGAATACCAGCTGAAGTGATAAAGCTGTAACTTTCAAATTGGACAACCAGGAATCCTAATTCCATAATACGAGTGAAACGGACGAAAAGCGCCCACAAACCTCGTTTCTTCCACTAAACCTCCGGGCATTCCATGCCTCAAATGGCATCAAGGCTGTGTTTCCCACTGTGATATAAAAACCACAAAGCGTTTCTGGCCATTTGGCCAACCTGAGAATCTATTCCATCTCAACTACAATAACCCAGCAAAACAATCAACCTTCAAACACTTTTTCAAGATCTGAAGCCCATAGTCCCCTTCTGATTCACGGTGTATTCGCGGACTGTTTGCAGCCATTACAGGGTCCCCCACAACGTTTTGTGTCAGTTGACCCCTAAACAAGAGAACTCAACAAGCTTTTTTGAACATTGCCAGGTTGCAAAAATTTGCCTTCTGAGTGGACCAAACCTTCCTGAATGTGTCAAGGGCGTTTCTTTTTTTTACATTTTTTTTTCCTTCATAGTCTTGTTTCAGACTCCCCCACCATTTCTATTTTCGCGACACAGCTGTTCTTCAACAACTACTCATACTAGATGAAGCTTCTGCCGTTAGTATTGCTCCAGTGCTTCGTGGCACTAGTGGCGGCGTTTTCCGTCCCTAAAAAGGACTACTCTGCCAGACAATACTTTATCGTCGAAATCGACCATTCCCACCTGGCTGAAAACCTACACACGTTCATCAACAAACACTCGGACTACCACTTTGAGCACCCTGTCCGGGGCATGGACGATCATTTCGTGTTTAGTGTCGAGAAAGATCACGAGCATTTGCAGTTTTTGGGCAACCACAACTCCAACAACCACAAACTCATGAAAAGAGCTCCAGGATATGAGGATGCACACGACGCCTTGATTAACCACCCAGGCTTGAAGCTGGTCCACATGCTATACCCCAAAAAGCTCGAGCGCCGGAGGCCCGTGCCTGTGGATTTCGAGGCTGCCGAGGAAATGGCCGCTCGGGATCTTCAAATCACGGATTCTCTGCAAGAAGTGTTGAAAGAGGTGAGCGAGAAGCTCGGCATCAACGACCCTCTTTTCCTTCGTCAGTGGCACTTGGTGAACACCAGGTATCCAGGAAATGACATCAACGTTAAGAATGTCTGGTATGAGGGTATCCGTGGCCACAATGTCACAGTAGCCGTTGTGGATGATGGCTTGGACCACGACCTGGACGATTTGAAGGCCAACTTCAACGCTAAGGGCTCGTGGGATTTCAACGACAACACAAACTTGCCCACCCCTCGTCTTTTCGACGACTATCACGGCACTCGTTGTGCTGGAGAGATCGCTGCCGTCAAGAACGACGTTTGCGGTATAGGTGTGGCCTACGAAGGCCAGGTCAGCGGAGTACGTATCCTTTCGGCCGCAGTTTCGTCCGAGGAGGAGGCCGCCGCTATGATCTACGGCCTTGAAACCAACGATATTTATTCATGCTCATGGGGCCCCACAGACAACGGCAAGACCGTTGCGGCTCCCGATATGATTGTGCGCAAAGCCATGATAAAAGGCGTCCAAGAGGGCCGCCAAAACAAGGGTTCAGTCTATGTGTTTGCAAGTGGCAACGGTGGTCGTGCTTTCGACCAGTGCAACTTTGACGGCTACACCAACTCCATATATTCCATCACTGTGGGCGCCATCGATCACAAGGACTTGCACCCTACGTATGCCGAGGCCTGCTCAGCCGTTATGGTTGTCACTTATAGTTCAGGCTCCGGCGAACACATTCAAACAACGGACATTAGAAAGAGATGTTCTCTGGGCCACGGTGGAACATCGGCAGCTGCCCCCTTGGCGGCAGGTGTTTTTGCTTTGGTGCTTGAGGCCAACCCTAAACTCAATTGGCGTGATGTGCAGCATGTTGCTGCCCGGGCAGCTGTCACTGTGAACGAACACGACGGTGATTACCAAGAAACAGCACTTGGGCTCAAATACTCCCACAAGTACGGTTACGGTAAGATTGACGCCGAGAAGCTTGTGGAGGAAGCCAAAAAATGGAAGGGTGTAAAGCCTCAGGCCTGGTACTACGCCGACACACTCGAGGTGAATGAAGCTGTCAAGTCTGGCGAAACAGCCGCTAGCGACTGGATCTCGAGCAGCGTCAATCTCACTGAGGATGACTTGAAGCTAGTCAACTTTGAGCGTGTGGAGCACGTCACTGTTACCGTTAACATCGAGTCGGCTTTCCGTGGCCAAATCCAGGTGAAATTGACCTCTCCAAGTGGTATCGTTAGCAAGCTCGCTGATCCTCGTCCATTCGACCAATCCACTCGTGGACTCAGAGACTGGACTTTCATGTCTGTCGCTCACTTCGGTGAGAGTGGTGTGGGTGAGTGGAAGCTTGAGGTTTCCAGTTCTCGTGGACAAAACGAGGTGACCCTCAAAAACTGGCAGCTTCGTCTCTTTGGTGAGGTTATCGACGCAGACAAGGCCGAGAAGTACGACCTCAGCAAGGATTATGCTGCGGAGCGTCGTGAATTGAGCAAAAACAGACCAACTTCCACCTCAGAGACCCTGACCCTGACACTGACACTGACACTGACACTGACCACGGCAGCTGCCCTGAGTACTTCGCTCATTACCACAAGCAGCACCAGTCAAACATCGACGGAGACGACGAAGACGGCAACTACTACTGACGGTCACAAAAAGAAGCCAGAAACCGAGAAACCTGAGAAACCAGAGGACAGTTCTGACGAAGAGTCGGATGACGAGGATAAGCCCGAGGACGGCAAGCAGGACAACAACAAGCACTATGCTGCTGACCACGCGGGCCAGTATTTCATGGCATTGGCGGTCCTTGGATTCCTTATCGCCATCATCACCATGAAGTGCCACAAGTCTCCAGGCAGTACTAGACGTCGTAGAAGAGACGATTACGAGTTTGACATCATACCTGGCGAGGACTACAGCGACAGTGATGAGGAAGAGAGAGACCTGCTTGACTTGGATGGCAGTCGTCAACGCGAGCAGGAGAATCTTTTTGACGAATTCAATGCCGAAACGTTACCAGACTACGACGATGACATGTTCCAAATCGGTGATGAACACGAAGATCACGCCGAAGCCCGTGAGCCTGAAGGAAAGGCGCCTACTGGGAAGGAGGATTCACTGACTACTGAGACCCCTGAAAGCTATCATGGTGACAATGGCAGCCAGGAGCACCTAGTTGAAGAAGGTGATAGACGATAAGGCGTTGGTTACAAGCGTCATGCAGTATAGCACAACCTCCGAGGATTGCCTCCTTTTGCCCGGCTCGCACAATGAGACGTGGGGGAGGAAAGCCAGGACAAACGGAGATAGGGCCCTCTCACCTCAACGGCAGCCAAATTGGGTAGTTTTTCCGGAACAGTGTGCTGTGAAACTATCTTCGAAGGCACTTGATGTGTGATTTTCGAGGTACTTATACAACATCGCAAACTAAGGCATTCGAGGCCTCCATTGTTTCTTGCATCCGCCACGACCTCGAGGACTTGACACCTAGAATTTGCAATTATTTGTCAATGATAACCATGGGTCCTGCAGGGTAAGCGAACAACGCTCTTTCACTGCGAATTTGTAATCACCGCACGTGAAGGTTGAGAATCCGCAAGACATTGCACCGAAAGACGGGGGCAGGGCCAGCGGAGGAATATGACCGATACCGGGCCGGAGCTAAAAGGGCTAATCAGCATGTGAATTTCGACATTAAAATCACTTTACTCCGAGTAACTTCAACTCAATTGACTGAAACTTTCATTATTCAAATCCCAGCAACTATAGTTATAGTGCGATTATCGGTCAGACATGGCCGGCTGGGAGGTGGTAGCGTTATGGCTGCGTGCAGGCCGCCCTTTATATCTCGCATGGCAGTTGGTGCGACCTCATCATATATAACCGCAAGGCCGGGATTTTTTTTAACTTTTGTTCACTAGCAACAATTGCTTCTTGAAATCCTCCCTTTAACTACATTTTCCAATCACCACAAATACAAGCATGTCAGCAGACAGTTTCGGTGAGCACGTGTCAATTGTCGTCTTTGGCGCCTCAGGCGATCTTGCCAAAAAGAAGACCTTCCCTGCTCTCTTTGGGCTTTACAGAGAAAATCAGTTGCCTCACACTGTCAACATCATTGGTTACGCCCGTTCGGGTTTGACCACCGAGGAGTTGAGAGAGCGTGTGAAGGAGCACTTGAAATTGCACGATGAAAAGGCAAAGAGCAAAGTCGACGGTTTCTTGCTGTTGATCTCATACATTTCTGGTCCATACGACAAGCCTGAGGGCTTTGAGAAGCTCGAAAACGCTATTCAGGAGTATGACACCAAAAACAAGGTCACCAAGTCCGAACGTTTGTTCTACTTAGCATTGCCTCCATCAGTCTTCACCACTGTTGCTTCTCACATCAAGCAATTCGTCTACCCCGAAGGCGGAAGAGTGAGAGTCATTGTCGAGAAGCCCTTCGGTCACGATTTGGAGTCTTCCAGACAATTGCAGAAGGATTTGTCTCCTCTTTTCACCGAGGAAGAATTGTACAGAATTGACCACTACTTGGGCAAGGAAATGGTGAAGAACTTGTTGGTGTTGCGTTTCGGTAACGAGTTGTGGTCTGGTGTGTGGAACAACAGGCATATCTCCTCGGTCCAGATTTCCTTCAAGGAGGCTTTCGGAACTGAGGGAAGAGGCGGCTACTTTGACCTGATCGGCATAATCAGAGACGTCATGCAGAACCACTTATTGCAAGTGTTGACCCTTTTGACCATGGAGAGACCCGTGTCGTTCGACCCAGAGGCTGTGAGAGATGAAAAAGTGAAGGTGCTTAAAGCTTTTGACAGTTTTAACCCTAACGACATCTTGCTCGGTCAATATGGTAAGTCTGAGGATGGTTCCAAGCCATCCTACCTTGACGACGACACTGTCAACAAGGAATCCAGATGCAGCACCTACGCTGCTCTTGCTGTGAACATCCACAACGAAAGATGGGACGGTGTTCCTTTCGTTTTGAGAGCTGGTAAGGCTTTGGACGAGTCCAAGGTGGAGATCAGAATCCAGTTCAAGCAGGTGGCCAAGGGTATTTTCCAGGAGATCCACAGAAACGAGTTGGTCATCAGAATCCAGCCCAACGAGGCTGTCTACACCAAGATCAATTCTAAGATCCCCGGTATCTCCACACAGACTTCCTTGACGGACTTGGACTTGACCTACTCCACCAGATACTCTGACGATTTCTGGATCCCTGAAGCATACGAGGCGTTGATCAGAGACTGCTACTTGGGCAACCATGCCAACTTCGTGAGAGATGACGAGTTGGATGTGTCTTGGAAGTTGTTCACACCATTGTTGGAGTACATTGAGTCGGACAAGGCTCCTAAGCCTGAAATCTACCCATACGGCTCGAAGGGTCCTAAGAACTTGAGAAAGTTCTTGACTGACCATGGCTACGTTTTCTCGGAGGCAGGCTCCTACCAGTGGCCATTGACACGCCCTAACGTCAAGGGTAAGATCTAACGGTGTGTTACGTAGTAAAATTTTACGATCCATAAATCAAGAGAAGACAAACTTGTAGTGATTCCATCAGACATCCATGGAAGGTCGATTGGCGGTCACCGGCATACTAGATTGGGTTCTAGACGTATGCTACCGTGGAAACTGCGAATGTTATGGGATATTTCATCACCGGAATCACACAAGACTTGTCTTGTAATCGTGCAAACTCTTTGTTGCGTGCTTCCAGGTATCAACCAAGCATCGCTGCTTCGAAGCCACTGAGAAATTGTTTGAATCAGAACTGTTAAATACTGGCAAGTATAAGCCCACAATGAAACACCAGGTTAAACCCAATGCCATAAACTCACTGCAGGCGCTTTTCAACCCTGTCGTCATAGTCGAATCGGACTGGGAAAGAAGAGACTTAGTTTCCTCATCTTCGTTGATTTCTCATTCGCTTCGAAGCGGCGATGCCATGGCTGAAAGCCACAAGCCCGCAACAAAAAGTCTGCATGAATTTAGGATTATTCATGTAAAGAGATCAAATAATGGTTTATGGAAAAAATTTAGGTGCGATGCTCTTCCATTTATAGTGGGAGCGTGAATGCATATGCAGGTCGTGATGGATATATTACCCGCCCTCAGATGAGTTAGGTCAAGATCTTATGCAACAAAGGATCAAAAATCCGAGTAGACATTTGATTCAAGACAAATAGCCCTGATTAACTCTCGTGGGCTTGCTCTCTGGATGGAATGAAGATTCTTTGGATTTGAAAATGGTCACGTGACATATAAGATTTCGTTTCAGTATCTTTAATTGCCCTAGAATAGAATGTAAATCAAGTTTGATGGCTAATATCAAGTGCATTTGAGATGAAAGGCTTGTGTACGTTGCCTGGTGGCTACCTGACTATGCTCGGCTGATGGCACTGAAGATAGAGTTGGAAAGATCCCAATGGAATGAAATGCCCAAGAAATAGTTCTGATAAGTTCAGTCTGTTAGTGTAATTTCTATTGTAGTAAAGTCAATCTTACTTTTGTTTCCCCAATGCAAATTGAAACAGTGCCCTTCACCACGAGTCAGTGAGTTCTCGACCACTTACAGCTAATAGGCAGGCAAACGGAGTGGGAAGGAGGCTAAACTTTTAATAATTTAATGACTTAAGACCCTTCAGGTCTTGGCTGAAGCTCAAGCCACACTGGACTGCTTTTTCTGAAATCTTCAGAAGCATGGTGCTTCCTCAGATAATGGCTGCAAAAAAGAGCTGCGAAATACTCCCAAACATACCACTATGCTTCTGCCTGATTTGGTTTCGATCTTCGAAACAGCCAAAAGTCTCTCCATAAGTAGCTCAAGATCTCTCCATAATCACCGCGAGGATCCCGTTTTCTCCAACCCGTACCTTGTCTATCGACCCCCAACCCCAGATTACGGTGCTATCGATGCAGAAGAGCATGAAAAGCAGCCTCTTGAAGACCACTATACGGCCAAAGATCAAAAGCCTTTTCAATTCTATGTTCAACTTGCCTCTCTGGAAGAGGGACAGGTTCGGAAGGATTGTCCCGATGGTCCAAAACTCGATGCAGCGTTCCAAAATCGCGTTTTAAGAGGTCTCTTCCTTGAGGTGTTCAGGAACCAGCATAAGATGTGGAAAAGGGTCCCAGGAAGGGAAGTACTGAGCCATATTCATATTCTCGACCCGCTTATTGAGGAGACCGATTGAAGATATCGTTATAGCAAATACACACGGCGTAGTAGAATCACGCCAAGGCCAAATTAACACTACAACAAACCCACACTCAATGACTACAAATTGCTCTTCAGCGAATGGGCCAAAACGGCCCTCCATTCATTGTTACAAAGGGTAATTTTTGTACTGGACTAGCCAGATAAAAGCGAACGAAGGAATAAGCAAATTGAAAGGGAAATACCGTTCAGGAAAGGACCAAAGGCTCTCTAATTCCAGAAAGAGCTTGGGTTCATTCCACCCTGGTACGCAAGCACGTTGGGGGTGTCGCTGTTGAAGCCAGAAATCTTGTCTCTGGTTCCGTAGTTGATCAACATCTTCTTAATGTCGGATGGCGATGCAGACGAGCTGTACTCAGAACCCTTGCCGGGGTACAAGGACAAAAGGTAGGAGACCGTTCCACAGACGTGGGGGGAAGCCATGGAGGTACCGGTCATGTAGTAAGGAGACAGCTTCACACCGACAGAACCAATGTTGACACCAGGAGCAATGATATCCACACATTTTCCGTAGTTGGAGCTGCTGTAGTTGTTGTCGTCCTCATCAGAACCAGCTACAACGATAGCATCGGACAAACCAGGACTGTAGTTGCAGGCATCAGTATTTTCGTTACCAGCAGCAACAACAGCATGAATACCAGCCTTGAGCAAAGCGTTGATTCCGTCCGTCCAAGCACTGGACTTGGCACCACCAATGGACATGTTCAAAGTGGAGCCCTTGAAGCCGCTCTTGTCCTTGTTTTTGTTGTGGTCCTTGATGACCCAGTCGAAGCCCTTCAACATGTCTGAAACATAAGCGTCGTCGTTGGCGTCAAACACATTCACCGAGACAATGTTGACCTTCTTGGCCACACCGAAGCTCTTGGAACCGATTGTACCAGCAACATGGGTTCCGTGACCCAGAGGGTCTCTCTTTTCATTAGGCAAGGCGATGGAAGTACCGAACGAAGCACGGCCTTCAAACTCACTGTCATCATACTTCACTCCAGTGTCCACCACGTAGGCAGTGACACCCTTACCACCTTCGTCATCATGGAGGTAGTTGCCATTGGCGGCGTTTTTGCGGTGACTGATTCTGACAAAACCCCATTCGGAGTTAGACCGTCTGGTGAGGCTCAGAGCCGAAACCTTGGCGTCTTCCTCGACGTACTTGACGGCGGTGTTGTTTCTGATGGAGCCCAAGATGTCGTCGTCGAAAATACCCAGGTATCCGCTGAGACTGTTGAAGCCAAAGAAGTTCAAGCTGTCGATGGAGCCGTCTCTTTTGGCGGAGATTCTCTGGGAGATCCAGTCGCTGAGCTCGTTTTTGGACTCCTCCGAGGCGTCGTCCTTGTACACCACAATGTAGCGGGACTTGCCCGGGTTGGAAACATGGAACAAAGGTGCAATCAGCGAGAGAAGGTCTTTCTTCTCCACGGCGGCCTCAGCAGCAGGCTCGGGCTGGTCCGACAAGGGAATCACGGCGGCAGCAGAGTAGCCAGCAAGAAGTAGAAGAGAAAAGTTGAATTTCATGGTGATGAAGAAATTCCAAAACAGCGGTTCAGCCGGGCTTCTTATATAGTGAAGATCCGAAACCAGCAAGCCGTCGAACAATTGGCTTCGATGCAGACAAACCAGAAACGGGTGCATCGGCGGCAGACCGGTGCATTGTTCGCCAATGCCATATGCCCATTGTCTGGCCATTGTGTCGTCGGCTGTGCCTGGTTCCTAACCAAGACCGACGGTCGCTTTTTCATGTTTCACGGACGAATTGGCGCCTTGTCGCTAGGAGCCATCAGGCAAGTTCGGAGCGGTAGCGATAAGGCAGCTATTTTTTGCCAAGCCGCGAAAATCAACAAGGTCAAGCGGCTATTGGGGGCTTGGGGAGGTGGAGCGGCTATAGGGGCTTGAGGATCTGATTTGGATGTTTTGCAACCGGCCTGCGGGGCTCATGCCGTCTCATGCCCCCAAACGTCAGGGCCAAAAAAATATCTGTCAATCTGGCGTCGGTCCGATTGCTGCAAAACACAATCTAAAGAATCCATCTCCATTTCGCCAATCTTCCCTAGATCCAAAAAGCCTGCCCCACCTTCCCCTGACGCACAAAGGCTATCTTGACGTCAGGGCTCAGGCTTGCCAAGAGCAGGGTGTGTCAGAAGATGGCGAAATTGCCGCCTTTGTGGCTCCCGCCGGGTGATCTTTCCCATTTCCCTCCCTTGCTCACCTGCACCAGCCAATCATCTGCTGGGTTGGAAGGGTTGGTGTCGAACTGCTCCCGGGAGGCAGAGGTCTGCCGTATCCGCTGCCGTTTTGGGTAGCTGGAGGCTGCCATTCTCCGCACCTTAGTGGCTCCATTTGGGGTGTTTCCAGGGGTGTCAGGACGGTATGGCGGCTTGCGGGCCGTCTCGGGGCTTTTGCAATGTGCGTTCTGGATCTCGGAACGGGCTGGATTCGCTTGCTCAGCTGATTGTTTTCAACGGGAGGGAGGTGGTGTGTGGGAGGGCTTGAAGAAGCTTGCTGATTTTTCGCAGCCAAAAAGCGGTCAAAGCTGCCACCCAAAGCTGCCACCCAAAGCTGTCACCATATAGTTTTCGTGGGAATGTCGTTTTGGCGAACATACCCCGTGGCCCGCTACCCGTCCAGAGGCTTGGACGCAGCGAACCCGTTCGCTTAGGTGGTGCCGCAGTGAAGAAGCCATGCCCTCACGGATGCTGCAAGGAAGGCAGAAGCGGTTTCATTCTACGAGGATCGGGCGTCTGCGTGCTGTAGATCTGTCGATGGCTGGAGATTGTCAGCCGTGCAAATCCACAACGGGTCACGCCGGGAAGAAAAAAATTCATCTTTGCGGGAATTCATCTTTGCGGGAATTCATCTTTGCGGGAATTCATCTTTGCGGGAATTGGTCCTTGGCGGATGACTTGGGGGAGGTGGGTTTGCGATAAGACATTCCGGAAAGATCCACCCTCAGTCCACAAAAGGTGAACGATGGCAAAACGACCAACGGTGCTGGCCGTTTGACGATACGGTGGCATGGGCTACTCAGCCACGTCCGTTCAGCCACGGCTTTGCGCTTCTGAAAAGCGTTTTGGCGATCGCCGTTGGTGTTTTCGAGATTGGCGCCTAAGAAGGTGGCGGTTCAGCTGGCGAGGGCTTGACGGCACTAAGTTGACGATTTTCGGTCCGTCTACGATGCTACATGACGTTTTTCGGTTTCACAATTTAATGGCGCTCCATTGGCGACTAGCTCAACCCTGAAGATCTATCCCAATTGCTATCATTTCTTGGCCTCTATGCCCAGATCTCCGTGGCGTCCTCGGCACCGTTGTATGCCATGAGGTTCACGGTATCCGAGCTGAGACCCTTGAGCACGTTTTTGGTGCCGTAGTCAAGAAGCCTGCTTTTCATTTCCGCTGGGTCCACTAGGTCTCCGCTGAACTCGGAGCCCAAACCAGGCTGCAACGACAAAAAATACGCGATCAACCCGGTGACATGCGGTGCTGCCATGGAGGTACCAGACATGAGCGTAGGGCTTGTTGAGAGTCCCACAGACTCGATATCAACGCCCGGAGCATGGATGTCGATGCACTTGCCGTAGTTGGAGAAACTCGCTTTCTGGTCGTTTTCATCCACAGCTCCTACGGTGATGACTCTGTCGGCTCTGCTGGGTGAAAAATCACAGGCATCAAGGTTATCGTTACCAGCGGCTGCAACAACGTGGACTCCAGCGTCAATGGCGGCGTTTACCGCAGCATCCAAGGCCCCCAGGGCACTTCCACCAATGGACAAGTTGATGGCCGTGCCTCTGAATCCTTTTTTGCTTTTCTTGACGTTTTCTTCATGGCCCTTCACCGCATACTCAATTCCACGAATAATGTCGGAGTTCATGCCCGTGCCAAAAGGCCCTAAAACACCCACGCCCACAATTTCCACTTTCTTCGCTACACCCCACGTTTTGGAACCCACCGTGCCGGCAACGTGTGTGCCATGGCCATGCATATCCACAGGAATTCCGGGGAATGCCAATGCCTTGTGGTACTTTGCCCGTCCTTCGAAATCACCATCCCAGGCTCTCACTCCAGTATCAAGCACATACGCAACCACACCGCTTCCTGCTTCGGAGTCATACACAAAAGCGTCTGAAGAGCCGTTGTCGCCCCGTTCTGAAAGACGTGTAAGGCCCCATGTGGCGTCGTCCTGGTACGAGGTATCGTACATGTGCACACGGGCATCCTGTTCAATGTACTTGATCTGAGGGCTGTCTTGGATGGATTTCAAGATGTTTTCAGGGAACCAGCCCAGGTATCCCCGGAAATGGGGCAAGCCGAAAAACTCAATTTTACGGTCGTCGTCCTGTTCGTTCGTCAAGTCTCTTTTTTCAGCCACGGACGAGATCCAGCTGTTGTGAGAGCTCACGTCCTCCTCGGTCACCTCGTCGTTGTACACGACAATGTACCTGTTGGTCACGGCGTTGCTTACCCTGAATAAAGGAGCCGGGCCGTTTCTAGGTTTCAAGTTTCCGGGCTTATTTGAAGAAGCGTCCTCTCTGTTGAAGAGAGAACCAAGCCCCACTTCATCAAGCAGGGGAATCACCATGGAGGCTGCGTGCTGGATTAGAACAAGCGAGAGAATCAAGCGAATGTGCATTTTTGGGGTATCAAAGACGGGTTTGCAATTCACTACGGTATGGCTGCAAATGCCAATGGCTATATACGTTGTGTGGTCTGTGGAGGGGCTCAGCAATGAACGTGTTGAACGCAACGCCAAGTCCTGAATGCTGACATAAACAAGGGGCAAAGAAATCAGAACAATGGAAGCCCAGGTACCAAAAACGGGAAGGGTCCCCGGGGTATGTATATTCTCGACGATTTTGCGACCGTAAACATACACGGTTACGGATTAGGTAATGTACAAATAAGGAAGGCTTTTTGACGATCTTGGGGGTTGGATAATCCGGGTTTGGGAGGTGTGCTTTTGATGTCAAACCGGATCAAAATTTAGCCGGCAAGCGTCTTTCGGTGGGTTCTACAGGCACCAAACGACACAGAACATGGACCCTTTTTTGAACCTGAACACTTTTTTGAACCCGGCTAAGAAACCTGAACAGTATTTTTCAAAATGCGTTGCAAAGCCTTCGATGCGCTCACATAATGGAAGCAGCGCCAATCAGCAATGTCAGAGAAATATTTCACAACAGTCGTGGAACCTCTTTTGCCAAAGCCTCGTTGCTGCACACATAGACTTTAGCCCATATTTGTATGAGCTTTCATTGGCTCGAGAGTATGCGGATTTAGCTTTAGGCCGTGCAGAATTCTTCGTGACATCATTGACTTGAAATTCCAGCGTGGACTCTCGAATCTCAGAACACGGTATGAGGCAGTAGCACAAAAGAGGTCGCCACAAAATGGAATTGCTCATAATCTCGTGAATACTCGATCCGATCCGAGTACTAATCGAACTCAAGTTTGGCTCCTTCGAATTAATTCAAACTCTTTCTTCTACTGGGTACTTGCCCCATTCCAATTCTTGTTGCAAATGCCGGTTGAAACGACGTACCGGTTGAAACGACGGCAAAAGCATTCACGCCTCAATTGAGGTCAATACATTGGAAAGAAAAATATTAAGACCAAAAAAATGCTTTTCTTGCCCACACATTGCCCTTTACCATTTTGGTTGTTTCATACTGTTGGATGCATGTCTCAACCTGAGGTCGCGTTAACTCGAGTCACTTTGATCAGAGTTGCGAGATATTATTACTGCAAAGCAAAGATGGCAAAAGTGCAAGTCACAAGCATCTAATGGTATGCGCCTATATATTTCAGCAAGGGCGCCCGTCCTTTGACTCTATTGAGCAGTCATGAGCGGTCCACTCGATCCTTTCACACGTTGCACCTACGAACACTTGACCATGGCAGAGCATGAGCTCAAGAAAATGTCTACGGGCGAGTTAGAGAAGGCGTTGAAGATAGTTTGCCGTGGAAGCAAAGCCGTCGTTAAGATGTCAAAGTCAGAAGATGAAGCCAACTTCTTGATTCATGGAACCCCACAGGAAATGAAGAGGGCTAGAAACCTTATACGAACACACTTTGAACGTGAACGTCCCGTTACCACACTTACGTTTGAAATCCCCACGAGAAGACGTAGCGCAGTAGTGGGGCCGAAAGGGAGAACAGTGAGGTCCATCAAAAGAAAGCACAATGTGGAAATCACAATTGCTCGCAAGCGCTTTCGAGAGTATTCTTCATACCATATCCCTGAGAAAATATTCTTTCGTGATAATTTGCTGCTGGTAGATGGCATTGACTTTGCCCCTACAGTACAAGTGAACGTGAAAGGCTACAAGACAGATTGTTGGGGTGCGAAAGACCTGATCTCGAGGATAGTGTTGCTAGAGGTTGAGAATTGGTGGCACTTTTCAGACGAACTTTATGTTTACAAAGCGAGAGAAAAGGTTAAAGAGTCTCTTGGGGGTTCGATACGTCTTGGTTATTATCGTGGATGTTACAGCAAAGTAGGAGTGCAAGGCGACAGAGATTCAGTTTCTGAGGCGATGAAAATCCTCCGCTCGTATGCGAGCCTCTTTTGTGATTCGGTGATTGTTCCGTATGTATTTGGCGCCGAGGACTTTGAGAGCTGTGTCCAGAATGTCGAAATGCTCTCCACTCACAACAATGTAACTGAGAGGAGGATCTTTATCAAGGGTCATGAAACAGATGTGATCCTGGCTAAAAAAAATATTCTTGAACGTGTTGCTACGTATTTTTCTCAGAGATTGGTGTTGGCAGACCTTCATGGTGGAAATATTGAGCATGTTAGAATGTTATTGTCGCTCGATGATGTAAAGTCCGAATTCCTCCACTTGTGTTTAAGAAATAAAGTTATAGGAAGATTGCCAACTCGAAGATTGAAGGACGTGGAGTTCATCGAGGTTTTTGGTCCTAAATACCCCGAGGTGGCACTAGTGGTCCGTGAATTACAGAGTATGCTAGAAAGGATGAAGCCAAGTGACTTTTACGTCTGCTCGGATGAAAAGCTTGTCTGGAAGTTACAAGTAAGGGATCTTTATAAAGGGATTCCAGATACGATGAGGGCTTCCGTGGTACATGGTACCTTGCTACTCTATGGGAAGCATTTATCAAGTGGACATGCATCCCAGTTGCCTTCAAATACTGAGCGTGAAAAGGCTTTTGAGTCGTTGAGGCAGTGGGCAGGTGCTAGGTCAAAAGTTGTTCTAGATGTGCCATCAAAATATAAAGCACTCCTCGAACTCGGGTTTGTCCAGATGACCATTCATGATAAACCTTTTGAATGTAAAATGTTTTTCAGTCGCGACGGAGTGAGGTATTGTAAGGACAAAATACTTTTGTTTGGCATAAATGAAAGGGTCGAAAAAAATGTTGCTTTCGTGAAACTGATTTTGCAGAGCGAGGAGCAGGGGGTATGCACCGAAGTTATAGAAGTACCGTCTCTGGTGGGGCCTCGTATTAGCTGTGATTTCCGGTTCAATGCTCGTTTTTTATTTGGTGTAAAGCCACACATTGTCAGGAAAGATGGTTTACCCAACAGACCCCTCCTGTTGACGAGTGCCTCGGACGTATCTCTTGTCACTCTCAAAGGTAATAGGATCTTGGTTGATGCTTACAAAAAACACATTGTTGACACTTTTGGTCGCCACATGTGATTTCTGAGATGAATTACTTGGATCAAAGATAAAGAAGTTGGAAGAGGCGTTTCTTTAGACAGAGCTTACATAATCTCAATTGAGAACGGTATCGAGAGCACATGGTTAGTAGGGAGTCATTGGTTAGACAGCACGAAACATCAACAGCAATTCAAATTTGTGCTCTCCTCTTTTTCATTATTTCCTCATCTGAATCTACATTTTCCAATCTTACAAGTCGATAAAACGACTAACTGTACCTGAGCACACTGCGAAGTACCAATGATGAGTGCACCAACGTTACCTGAGCAAAATTTACCGGTCAATGAATTCCACACTAATTTCAACAGCTCAAGTCAACAGCATAAATTCAGCAACCAGTGAACCTCCAAATCAAAATCTTCCGGGGCACTGTTTATAGTAGTCCTGCACAGTGGACGTCCAACATCAACTAATCTCGTCGCACTTTGACCACGTCTCAAAACTTTTACGACACCCTCTTTCTCGGCGTAATACTATGTCAAGAAGAAGAGCATACCCACAGCCCCAGTATGCTGTTCAGCAGCCGTCAGCCCAACCATCGTACGGCGGCTACGGTGTGGACCAGGCTACGCAGGGCTTCCAGAATATGAACATTCAACAAAACCAGCAACAACAGGCCCAATTCCCCGCCAATGGCAACGGCCAAGCCTACCCAGCTCAGCAAACACCCGGTTATGGCTACCAGGCTGACCCGTACGCGCAGCCACAGGCGCAGCAACCCCAACAGGCTCAGTATCAGGCTCCAGCACAAAATCAATACCAGAACCAGTACCAAAACAACTACGGCGGTGCCGATCCTTACGGCCAACAGCCTCAATCGCTGTACTACGGCGGTGCTGCTCCTACGGTGGGCGCAGGTGCTGCGGGCACCTTGCCATTGAACCAGTTGTACACGACGGACTTATCGAAAGAGTTGCCTCCTTCCATCTCTGACTTGACGTTGCCCCCACCTCCTTTGATCGTGCCCCCAAGCTCCACGATTGTCCCTGGATCTGAGACTGCGAACGCGTCGTCTGATTATCTCCGCTCAACTTTGAACGTGATTCCTGTGAACTCGTCCCTTTTGAAGAAATCCAAGTTGCCCTTGGCACTTGTGGTTCGTCCTTACACAGCCTTGCATGAGTCTGTCGAGCAGGCGCCGGTCACCCGTGATACTATCATCTCGCGTTGTCGTCGTTGTAGAGGTTATATCAATCCGTTCGTCTCGTGGACCGAGGGCGGCAAGAGATGGAGATGTAACTTTTGTGGCTTACAAAATGATGTTCCCGCGGCTTTCGACTACGATGAGTTGACTCAAAAGTCTCTCAACAGATACGATCGTGTTGAGTTGAACAACTCGTGTGTGGAATTCATCGCTCCCAAAGAGTACATGGCCAGAGCCCCTCAGCCTGTTGTCTACACGTTCATTATCGATGTTTCTGCTGATGCTGTGGCTTCTGGTATGACGTCTACCGTTGCCAGAACCATTTTGGAAAGTTTGGACCGTATCCCAAACACGCATAAGACTGCTCGTGTCGCTATTCTCGGTGTGGACTCCAACTTGCACTTCTTCCGTTTCCGCGAGGGATTGGACGAGGCCCCAGAGATGTTGATTGTCTCTGATCTTGACGAGCCATTTTTGCCATCTCCAGAAGGCTTGTTGATTAATTTGGATGAGAATAGGAAAGCCCTCGAGAAATTGTTGATGGAATTCCCATCGTATTTCGAGGGCACCGCCAACCCTCATTTTGCCTTGGGACCTGCCTTGAGATCTGGCCACAGGCTTACAAGCAATATTGGTGGTAAATTGGTCGTTTTCTCTGCAACATTGCCAAGTATTGGTGAGGGTAAATTGATGCCTAGAGATGAATCACAGTCTGGTAAACCAAAGGAAGCGCAGACGTTGTTGAATGCTGCTGACAAATTCTACAAGGCATTTGCAGTGGAGTGCAATTCCGCGCAAGTCTCTATCGATTTGTTTTTGACCGGAAACAAATATCAAGATGTGGCATCCTTGTCAAATTTGCCTCGCTTCACAGCTGGTCAAACTCACTTTTACCCATCATGGTCGTGCACGAAGGTGGAAGATGTTACCAAGTTGTCTAAGGAAATTAGCGAGCATTTGTCGATGGAAATTGCTTTGGAGGCTGTCTTGAGAGTTAGATGTTCCACCGGTTTCAGAATGAGTGGTTTCTTTGGTAACTTTTTCAACAGATCTTCAGACTTATGCTCATTCCCATCCTTCCCTAGAGACCAGAGTTACGTTATCGAGGTGTCTATCGAAGAGACAATCACAAAGCCTGTCGTTTATTTCCAGGCTGCGGTTCTACATACCACTTGCTTCGGTGAGAGGAGAGTTAGAGTCATTAATTTGGCTGTCCCAACCTCGAACAAGTTGGATGACATCTACGCTTCTGCTGATCAGCTTGCCATCACCAGCTACTTGACTCACAGGGCAATCGAGAAGGCATTGTCAAGCTCTTTGGGTGACGGTAGAGACTTCTTGTTTAGGTCGGTCGTTGACATATTGAATGTCTACAAAAAGGATTTGATTCCTGGCAACATGACTGGCTCTTCGCCTTTGCAAATCTCTACAAACTTGCGTATGTTGCCGCTTTTGCTCTTCGCCTTGACGAAGAACATGGGTTTTAGAGACGAGAGGCTTCCAGCAGACCATAGAGCCATCGCATTGAACAATTTGGGCTCTCTCCCTCTCAATCATTTGATCAAGACCATATACCCAACAGTTTACGCCTTGCATAGCATGCCAGACTCCTGTGGCTTGCCAGAAACATACATCGAAACTGACCCAGAGACCGGTGAGGAGCGCGAGATCATCTCGTCCGATATCATGATGCCAGAGCCTCAGAATGCTACCAAGACTAATTGGGAAAACTATGGATTGTACTTGGTGGATAACGGAAGTGAGCTTTTCTTGTGGGTGTCGGGAGATGTTGTGCCTGATCTTGTTGGTGACTTGTTCGGAACTAATAACTTATACGAGGTTGAGGCCGGTAAGACAGAGTTACCAGAGTTTTCATACGAGGAATCCGAGTTCAACTACAAGGTTAGACAGATCATCGGCAAGCTTAGAGAACAAAAGGATTCGATTGTGTGGAAGAGCTTGTACGTCATCATTGGCAGCGGCTCCAACGAGCCTATGGATATGGCTCAGGAGAGACTGTTGGTGGCCTTGCGTTTCTGGGTTTGGAGCAACTTGGTTGAGGACAAGTCCGCCACCTCCAAGGGCTACAGAGAGTTCCTCACTGATCTCAAAAGCAAAATCACTGCTTAAAGATGCATGTCGCGGAGCGATAAAGAATATAAATAAAATGCATGCTTGTAAACTCATTAGTCATTTCTATTTAGGAGCGTTGTCAATGATGACAATAGCGTCTAGCAAAAGGCGTGCTGTCTCGTTATCAAAAATCTTCTTCACAGCATTCGCCATATTGGGGTAGTTGTTAACGAGTGACTTGGCGATTGGACCTCCCCTTGCCATTGTCGTGGCAATGTTTCTTTTGAATTTTGTTACAAGCCTTTCCCAATACACGGTCTTAAGCGAGGCAGCCTGAAGATGTTCGACAAATTCAGTGTATAACAGATGGTCCTCTGATACACAAGCACGAAGTAAAGACTCGAGTGTGGTGGTAAATTGCAGAGCAAATCGTTTAGTATCCTCCAAAGCAGCGCCAAAGCTACGTGGAGATTGCAATGCTCTGGAAAGCTGTGTGGATGCAATTTGAACTGATTTCGAAAGGGCACCCTTATCCAATACCTGAAAAAGCTCCGCACTGTCCAAAATATGCAAGGCCATGATATTGCTTCGCAAAGAGTCGTTTGACTCCTTGAATGAGTTATGGTGTGCAATGTCGTTGGAGATCTTCTCAGAGAGCGAGCTCAAAAACTCGGTCGAGCGAGCCTGGAAGATGGCCCTGTACTCCTTCACAAACTTCAATGAAAAAACATCGCCAAAGTCTGGCAGGTTCAGGAGCAAGCGCCCCTTGTAGAAGCGGCCCATCAAACTATAGAGTTTGGCCATTCTCACAGAGTCAGACCCTGCGGCCTCGCAGTCTTGTAGTTGTTGGATGAACATAATGAGGAAGCTGGCCCCTCGAAGAAGCGTTGATGTGGTGTGGATTCTTTGAAGCGCTTCGTTGAGCTGGTTGGCTTCTTTGTATGGATCGACGATCTCACGCTGAATTCGAGCATACAGCTTCTTGACTCTCTCCACCAGCGGTGTCACCGACAGCTCCATGACGTTTTTCGTCAGTTCTATCTTCGTGAAGCTGGCAACGAGCTCCTCGGTATGTGTGCGTGCTATCTGCTCCATTCTAGATTCACACTCGTTGGCATCAAACTGTAGCTTTTTGATTGGTGTCGCCAAATCAAGCTCTGAGTCGTCGGCAACATTGGTGGCTAGTAGTAGGGAGGATGCAAACTTTGTAGGCTCAAAATTGTCCTCTAAAAAGGCCTCAAAGTCCTCAATGGCTTGAGCTGTCATGAAGACGTGGTTGTAAGTAGCTGGTGTTGATGCCAAGGTGTGCAGGAAAAACTCACTCTGTGGACCCCGAAGTTATCAGGTATCCCGATCGAATTTTCAAGACGGATTTCGAAATTTGAAATTAATTTGACTATTAAAGCCATAAATGTGATTTGAAGACCTCGGTCGTGCATTCAAGTGAAATGGTGAAATTCCTACGTTTCTAGCGTACTATTATGCGCTCTCAGATCAGGCGAGATAGAGAGGCCAATATATTGATATGTTTACAACAATCAATGGCCCAAAGCAATTTCTCATTCCTCCCAAAACAGCGTGGGCTTCTCGGCACCGTTGAAAGCAAGAAGATTATTGGAACCTTGTGGTAGCTTCGTAATTGTACCATATGTAGCAAATTCAAGAATCCTTTTCTTCACCTCCGAAGGCTCGGCTAGAGAGCTGAAAAACTCAGAATTCACGCCTGGCTGCAAAGAGAGGAAGTATGAAACGAGACCAGTGACGTGTGGTGCGGCCATAGAAGTTCCTGACATCTTAAAGGGGCTCGAAATAAGACCAACAGATTCAATATCCAGACCTGGAGCGTAAATGTCAACGCACTTACCAAAGTTTGAAAAGCTGGCTCTCACGTCATTGCTATCAATCGCACCCACTGTTATGGGCTTGCTAGCTCTTGCAGGCGAGGTCTTGCAAGCGTCGTCATCATCGTTTCCAGCGCCAACCACAACGTGCAACCCAGCATTGGAAGCAGCATTAACGGCATCGTCTATAGCGCTCGATGCGTAACCTCCGATAGACAAATTGATAGTGGAGCCTTTGAATCCCTTGACTGCCTGCCTCACCTTTCTCTTGTGATCCTGGACCACCCAGTCAAGCGCTGTTATGATATCGGAAACAAAAACCCCACCATAGAAGTTGGCCACCGAAACTGATACAATATGGACTTGCTTGGCTACTCCCCAAGTTTTGGAGCCAATAATACCACCGGCATGTGTACCATCACCTAACAAATCCTGGGAGTTATGAGGAAACGATATGGCCTTGCCATATGAGGCCCGGCCTTCAAAATCCTGGTCAAGTTTGAGCCCACTATCTATCAAATACGCAGTGACTCCCTCACCGCCTTTTGGATCGTGAATGTATGAGCTCAATCCAGGCACTTTTTCACGGGATGAAAGTCTTGAGATACCCCAGGTAGCCTTTTCCTGAGCACTAGTCTCTTGAAATTCAAACTGCCCATCTTGCTCAACGTACTTGACAGCGGGGTTTTCCCGAATTTGAAGCAACACCTCCTCGCTAAAATAGCCAATGTATCCAGCAAAGTGTAGATTTTTGAATAATTTGACTGCTTTATTGCTCTCTTCTTGCACTGGACCATTGATCTCTTTGATCCAGGCAGTGTGCGACGAATAATCATAGGCTGAGATCCCATCATTTAGCACAACGATAAACTTTCCTTGAATCGGGTTTTGCAGTTCAAATAAAGGTGCAAGTCCTGGATGCGTATCCGTCCCTGGTAACTCAATGGTGTTCTGTTCGTCAAGTCCAACATCCTTGAGAGGAGATTTGACTCCAATGTCTTCTAGCAACGGAAGCACGATACCAGCAGCGTAGAAAGCATAAATGGGGAGTTGAATAAAAAGCCGCATATCTTGATAAAAGACTCGAAATGCAGATAGGGTCCACTATATACTACGCGTACAGAATTGGTTTTCGTCATTGAAAACTGCAGTACAACGCAGTGTGCTCAAGCAGGCGGTTATTATTCAAGTCTAATTTTGCAAATGGCCGTTGCTATTTGACACAACTGTCCTCCGAATTTAAGGCTTCCGGATAGATAAGCCTGTGAATCGACAAAAGGAATCAGAAACGTGAATCTTCAAAACAGATTTTCCAGTAAATTCATGCAAATGGTCCCTTGTCCCGGGCACTTCCGCTAGGATGCCGCACGGTGAGGTGGGTGTTGTGCGCCATTGGAGATAACCCTGTTTTAGATAAGAGAGAACCAAAAAGCGATCAGCTTGGAAGCGACTCTTCGTCACTATTGACTGTCTGGGCTGATAAGAGTCGTCTTTCGCCGTAGCCCATCTATTCGACGGGAAAACATCCTACTTCTTGACATGATAAGCTTGATGCATCTCGGCTAACTGAAGCGCAATTATTGGTCCAACTTGTTTTTGAAGCTTCTCTGATGATGTACTCATTAGCATGTGGTTTTATATGCTTTCGTGTGCCCTGTGAATCTAAATCAGAGGATTCCTCTTCGTGAGACTTTGACAATGCCGGCCCATTCCTCGAATGCTGTAGGGCTTGCTCCAGCCCTCAGATCAAGTGACTCGGAGGTCTGACATCGGGGCTTTTCCGTAAAAGCATTCTGTGTAATGGAAACAGTATTCAACTTTCAGCAGTGCCGGACTCTGAGACTTGGAAGACGAAGCACACTATCAACCTGCAAGTTCTTGACAGCCCAAGAAGGCTTCACCACATTCAGCGCTTCTGAGTACCCTCCACTCAACGAAAAGGCTTACTCCGTTCTGTACTTTGGCTTAGGAGGAGCCTTCACATTGCTCTTTCCAGGAACCCACTTTTTGAACCGTTTCTTCTTTTCACGAGCTTCCTGTTCCTTTCGAAGCTTGCGGACCTCCTGCTCTCTGGCCTTCCTCCTCTCACGACATAAAATAGCACTTTCACGCTTCTTTTTTCCTGGTCTGCGCTTGCGGTTACGTTGTAGCTCTCTGGCTACGTCCTCGTTGTGCTGTCTGAGATTCACCACCTTGGGCGCATCTGGATCGGGAAATACAGTCTGTGACCATTCTATCACAAACGAGGCATCCACAGCGGCAAACTTTATCTGCTCCTTTTCCTCGGTGGTGTAAACCGCTCGGTAGTAGGACTCTGGTCTTTCATTATTGATCTCCTCCTCGTCCTCGTCCTCTCTCATAGTCACCGTCATGACCTCGGTGGATGGTGCTGAAAAAAGAGGAAAGGCGAATTCCTCGGGCTCGTCTGGAGGAGCTTCCAGAGGTTCTTGAACATCCTGTTTCTCTTCAACATCTATGAGCTCAAACTCCATGTCGGGCAATACCACGGGCTCGTGGTCACTTTCCGCCTCCAGATCATAAAGATCCCTTCGGTTGGTTCTGATGTTAGTACTAGATATACCTTTCAGGCTCTCGGTTTCGTACCTTTTCTGATCTACCATGGTGATGCTCTCCAACTACTGCGATGCGCATCGCTGATATACGTTTACTAATATACACGTCGTAACTCATTATGGTGTGGATGCAATCACCACAACGGCGTGTGTGCCGAACTGATGGTTTTGACCACATCCTGGCGAAGCTTCCATCTAGGCGGAACAAAGCCCGCTTTGGGGCTTACGCCATTTTCCAGACCACGGTGGAGGTGGACCGGTGCTGCCGTACTGGGGTTCGCTACCACAGGCAACAGAGCCAAGCTCACTCTTGTTTCTTTCTTGACTGACCAGACCTTCTCGTGAAGTCCTGCGTCGTTTGCTTTGACGTACTCAGATGCTGCCTCGTACGGTAAGAAAGAAAGCTGGAGTCCCACGAACTTTGCAAGTCCGTCTGCTTCAACTTGGTGGTTCTTGCCAACACCAACCATGGGGAAAAACAAGGGCCATACCTTGGTTTTCGCTTCTTGATCTAAAACTCTGACATCGCCGTCTTTTTTGCGGCACTGCTCATGCAAGTCAGATACTGGCTTGGCAAGAAGGAGGGAGATTTGCAAGTCAATCACAGCGCTGCCTCCCCCAACATCAAAGACGTAAAGAGGGCTGTACTTGAGGCGCTGGACTTCACCCACGTTCAGGCCAAAAATAAACTGCCTGAGGCCTATCGGGTACTTTTGCAAAATAAGATCAGTCTCAAGCTTTTTGCGCTTGACTTCCAAATCCTTCGCAAGTTTCTCTGCCTCTTGCGCTTTCTTTATCTCATCCTCCTTGGCTTTCAACTTTTCTTGTTTTTCAAGCTCCACTCTTCTTTCCTCGTCCTCCTTACGCTTCCGTTCCTTTTCCTTTTCGGCTTGCAAAAACATCTCTTTACGTGCCCGTTTCTTAGCTTGCACCTTCTCTTGCCAAATCTTGGCTTCTTCCAAAGCCTTCTGTTTCTGCTCTTCTTGTGCTTTAGTTGTAGGACCTGGTGATAAAGATGTGTTGCTAGCGGTTCGGTGAATCTTGGCCCGATGTTCCTCTGTCGCCTTCTCCTTCGGTTCTCCCGATGGTGATCCGAGAAGCGTTTTCTCAAGCTCCTTCGCTTCTTCTCCAGTAGCCTGAGTGTCCTCGATCGTAGCCTTCACTGCATCCTTTCTCTTCTTTATTCCTTTAGCGTCACTATCCTCCAGGTTTTTGCGCTTCTTGGAAGTAACTTCATTTTCCACTGGGGGCTTCGCTTTTGGCTTAACCTCACTTGTTTCGAAGGTGTGTCTCTGATGGTTCTCTGCCGATTCTTTCTTGACAAGCGATGGTTTACGCAAAGTTTTACCGTCAGGAGTGGGACTTGACGGAGGATGTTGTATGGACGGTTTCTCGCTTTCTCCAGACAAATGCTTTTCAATGAGGAACACTTCCCTTGGATCATGTTGCGCAGAGTGTTTTGCGATTTGAAGTGCGTTCAAGTTGTCTTTTTCTCTCGTAAGCAGAGGATCTGCTCCTCTTGTTAAAAGAAGTTTCACAACGTCATAGTTGCCCCTTCCAACGCTTGCTAATAGAATGGACACGCCAGCCTTATTCTTGGTATCGATGTCGAATGAACCAGGGTTGAGGCCGAGAAGAATGTCAACCAACTCAGTATGGCCATGACGAGCCGCAAGGATCAAAATATCGGGCTTCTTCAGCAATGAATACCCGTGAAGAATGAAATCCTCTGCAGCTGCTTCCTTGAGGCCTTGGGCCACATACTTGTAAATCGCAGACGACTTCTTTTTCGTCAAATTATTGAAATAGGTTTCATTGGGATCCTCGATAACTTTTCTTGGTGATTGTGAAATGGCCTTCAGCGACTGTTTTTTATCGGCTGCTGCACTGAGGAGGCTGATTACCTCGTCATAATTATCCTCTTCGGTCTGAAGATGGTAAAGCTTCGTCAAAGCCGAGAATCCATCGACATTTGTGATATTTGGATCAGCACCATGAGAAAGCAAGACTTTGACGGTCTCGACATGTTTGTTTTCCGACGCATCCATGAGAGGTGTTTCTGAATCGCCTGCCTCCAAAGCCTGCTTGTTGACGTCGGCACCCTTCTTGATAAGAAACTCCACAATTTTGGTATTGCCCGCCAATGCAGCCTCGTGCAAGCAGGTGAAACCGCCAAAGTCGCTCTCATTAGCATCCGCCCCTCTAGCAATGAGATTTTTCACTGCCTCAAGGTCTCCTTTTTTGCATGCTCGTTGTAGTAAGGAGCGCCCTGTGGAGTCTCTCTTCATCTTGTAGGAAGTTGATGGTTTGGACTCTTGTTTCAATTTTTGCCGTTCTTGAATTTCTTCCTTTTCTGATTCATCTGAGGAGTCGAAGCCTGACCGATTGGAGGACTTTCTTGAATCGTTGGAGCTTCGACGACTCAGACCCGGATGAGTCAAAGAAGGAGTAGTATGGCTATCCAAAGAGGTGACCTGCTCCTCCGTGGGCTTTTGAGAAGATGAAGGGCGGTATGAATTGTCGGCATCGTCATTACCTTCGTCGCTTTCTTCATCACTTTCATCTGAGTATATTATTTTGCGCTTGAGACGTCTGCGTTCCTCATCCACTCCACGTTTGCGGACCAACAGCTTGGCAACTTCAGTGGAGATAGGATCGTTCGTTATCACCGTCTCAGCCTCTGACTCCACCTCACTTTCAACGCTTCCTTCAATTTGACTTTTATGGTCAGTCTCGGGTTTCGTCTCCGCTCGGCTCACATCTTCGTCCCTCTTTGGGGTCTCTTTTTCTCGATGATCAGCCTCTTGATGATCGGAATTTTGCTTGGCTAACAAATCTGGCTTGTCAGGAACAGTCTGTTTGGAAACGGTGTCCTGCTGCTTGGAAGACTCCTGCTTTTCAACAGAATCCTTCTTTTCAAGCGTGAGCTTCTTCTCTGTCAGATCTGATCTTTCCAAGGAACCTTTCCTCTCAGGAAACTCCCGTTTCTCTAGAGAGGCCAGCTTCTCGGGAGCTTTCGCTTCGAACTTTGAGTTTTCTTTTGGTTTGATATCATCATGCTTCTTTGCACCCTCTGGCTCACTCTTTTTAGTATCTGCGGCCAGGCTCGCCTGAACTGGCTCTTCCTTGATATCATCATCAAAGAGATGAAGGAGCTTCTCGTCCTTGATCTCAGGCATGCGAGCTGATTTAACAAGTTGATTCACCTTGCTGTCACTTGTCAGAGAGCCCACTCGCGTTTCGAATTTGTCAGTGGGTACTCGAGGAGCAGGGTCGGAGTTACGGTGACTCGTTTCCTCGACACGATCTCGAGAGGCCAGGTCCTTCAGCTCAAATCTATCTCTGCCATCTTGAGACAGTCTTCTTTCTTCAGGCTTATACTCTGAGCGCTCTCTGGATCTATCATTTGGTCCTGGCTTTCGCTTGTCGTTCCATGGACGCAGAGGTTTGTTCTTGTTGCCCGGACGGTATTTGTCGTAGCTCTCTCTTTTCCTGTTTCCCTGATATCCAGGCTTTCGATAGTTGCCTCGGTAACCAAAATAATCGCGTTGGTCCTGGCGACGGTATGAATCATCTGAATGGCCAAAAGACGACGAAGGAGGACGAATGCCTCTGTCCCTCTCTCTATCACGAGATGCTGGTTTGGAGGAGCCTTGTCTTGGTCTTTCCCTATCTCGATCACGACCAGGAATGCGATTCCCTTGTGAATTGTAAGACATGGATAAGGAAGTGCTCAATAGTAAAGATCGCGGATTATTTTATCGATTAAGTTTTCAATTATTTACAAGAAAGATTGTGCGGTGTGGTGGATGAGTTGAGTTGAAGCCCATCATCAATATGCAGGATGTTCTGAATGTTTGCAGTATCTGGAGCTTTCGAGAGTTATTCAACAGCTGTTAAGATTACAAAGTATCACACATTATTGATACGAATAAAGGTCATTGCATTCACAGTCCCCAGAGGTTCAAACGGTCAAAGTACTGATTAATTCACGTGGTTCATATCACGTGCGCGACTGGCTGGTTTGGCTGCTATAGTGGTTTTCTGCTCCCAAGATTAACTGTGTACTTCAGCCGTATAAGTAGATCAAGGTTCAGAAAGAATGGTTCAGTAAAAAAAAAAAAAAAAAAAAAAAAAAACAGCAATCACAGACAGTAATTATGTTAAATTTTAGTCATTTTGGCAGTACTTTCATACCGCTTTATCTACCACGGCAACTAGAAACCTACGAGACTATCCCATTCTACAATCCATTCATCATTGTTTTCTATTGCAGTATCGTTTCTTCGTTCGTAAATGACGCATTTTTGAGTTGATTTGAAAGGCCACTCTATTATTCTGTGGTATCTTTGGCCTTCCTGAGGTCATCGAAGTCCATCAACTCAAAAATCAAGCTCATATTGGGACAAATACGTTCACATGCATCAACGTGGTGACCTTCACGAGCGATGCGCCAATTGCATGGCTCAGCGGTGTTGGCAGTGCCTGACTTCAAGAGTTCGTATGCTTCATTCACCAGAAGATCAAACTTCACCATGAAATACGCCACGACAACGCAAGCCGAGCGCAGCACACCACATTGGCAGTGAACAAGAATTCGGGACCCCGGCTTATCATAGCGGGCAATCGTGGACGTGATGTTAAGGAGCTCCTTCAGAATCAGGGACGTATGAGACCACGGCACATGAAGATAGGTGCGGTGCCCGTCTCTGTCGTCGTACTCAGCCAGCAAGTCGTCACAATCACGGGCCACATTAACCACAAGGTCATAGTCGTTGATGTCCACCGGGCGTTTGGAATTCTTTGGGTCCAGGTACAAGAATAACGTTGTATCTAATACTCTGGCAGGTCCATAGGGATATGCATCAAGATTGGATTGTTCCTGAAGCTCCTCGGGCGGAAGAAAGGGCTCTTTCGTAGCGGGCATGACTTTATCGTTGACATTGTCCACAAGACCTGCTTCGAGACCAAAGGGGCTCAGCAACGCAATATCAGGACTGCTTGGTGCAAAGTGAGGTGGAGAGTCCCCAAGGGAAAATTCGGACAGGGGCATCACAGGCAGCAGGCGTAGTGAGGCGACATTTGTTTTCTGCGGAGGTGGAGCTGGCGGTATCAAAGGTGTCAGGGCGACAACGGGAGTTATCAATGCAGAGGCCAGGCCTGGTGGAATCGACAATGCTGGAGGCTTCTTGAGCCCATTTCGCAGCGGCAGCTGTACAGGGTCGCTGACGGGTTGAGGCGGTGAGCTCAAATTGAGCAGAAGTTGTTTCATATTGATGTTTCGCAGGGTTGATAACAGGCTCGGTTTGCGAGAGTGCCGGGGTGAGTAGTTCATTGTAGAAGCGGGACCGAGTCTGGACCTTTCCGGGTCCAGATAGGCCATTTCGAAGGTGATGATTTTGAGCGATGTGGAACTGACGTTGCAGACCTGCAATCTAGCTTAGTAGCTTCCCAGCGGCGTGTAATCAAGTCAGAAGATTCAGGAAGCCGAAGGTGACGGTATCAAGATAGCCTGTTTCAAGCTGTTGACTCAAAGAAGTGGTGGTTTGGAAAGATAGAGGGCTGCACGGAATTTCAAGCCAGAATTGACAAGTACCACGACGTGACACGGGATCTTGGCGGATGTGACAGACGCAAACGTTTGGCTCTATGTGAAACCTCAAACGGTGCTTTGTTGACAATCACTTGATTGCTGGAGGTTCGACAACGGGAGAAAGTGGAAAAGACGTTCCTGGATCTGATCTATGATCTGCCTGTAACGGGTCGGTCTGTGGGGTATGGCGCGTTTTGCGTTGAATTAAGGGACACGTTCAAAGACCTCGAGGCGTGATAGGAATTATATAGCTTTTTCGACCAGCCGGCCGTGTTCTTGAGGCAGATCCAAGTGGGTGTGGATGAAGAAGATGGGTTAAAATTGCCAGGGCCCCGGCGCAGGAATAAGGCACGAAAAAAAAACCGGTGGTAGAGGCGTCTCAGGCAGGTGGTTAGGGGAACTCAAGGTGGTGCAACAAAAAAATTGGGAAACGTAGCCTTGTTAGGTAGTTTGTTTTGGTTTGGAAAAAAAGAGTTTCAAGTTTTTCCACCGATGTTTCGACGCCTGCGCTGACAAATCCGCTCCTCGTTCCCATGTTTCACACTGTGTAGCAGGCGGGAATGGCGCACCTGCCAAGGTCCAACCAGGGGTCCATGGTTAAATTTAGCAGGGCGGATCAAAGTCATGACTTTCCGTGCTGAGGGCTGTGATGGCGGCAAATTCTGCTTTTGTGGAATGATTGAATGGATAAAGGCGTATTTCGGGGTCTATTACGTCACTACGTGCCTCTGGTGGGTTGGTGAGTTTCATGAGAAAGTGTACTTTACAACGCAGGTCTAAGGACATGTAGGCATGGAGCAAGTGCATCTAGAGTTCCGTTGCATTAAGTGGCTCTAAGCCGTGATATGATTATGTAAGTGATTCTTGGCTGCTGCACTCGGCTCAGGCAGTACCCTACAGGCTTAGCAGGTCATCACCAGGTGAGTAATAGGAAGGGAAGTAGGATGAGTTTCGAGGCTTCAGTGGTAGCTGAACTATATTCTTTTGATCATATGTATTTGCGGGAACTGCGCGATGGTGGTACTAGGATACGTTTTCGGGACCTCTCGTGGGTAAGGGAGTTAGAGAATAGCGTTGATTAAGATGACCTTTAAAGCTTTTTACCTTTTTGCTGCTGTAATACCTGCCACTATGGTTATGAAATCCGCCTAGGCTCCTCCTCTGTGCCTTTTCCTGAACAGGTTTTTGGTGCAATAGACATTGTGGTGCGTTTTGGTGAAGCATTATGGTGACGGCTCATCGGCATCTATAGTCAATTGTTAGCGAATCTACAGCTGCTGTGAAGCCAGTAATATAGCTCAATATTTATGAATGAGTTTTGTGTGGGATTCAACTGAGGTCTAGATTACTCTGAACAAAGAGAGTTCTGGCTTCTGGTCGAACTGGACTTTGTCAGACGGAAAAGCCTTAAGAAGGATCAACATGTACAGAGAAATATCGTGGAATTGTTTTTGAGTAGGCCTCCTGTTTGTCAATTGAGCGTCTCCTTCAAGTACTCTGTGTGTTGCAGATCGCTTCCCTTCGGAATGTGAATCACAGGATTTGCAACAGTATCTCTCTACATAAATTCAGACACATGCTTGTAAGGTTGATGAAAAGCCATCCTACTCAAGGTTGTTTTTCGATGCATAGAGCCAATCATCGTCTGATGCGTTAAGTTATCTTCCAAGGCTTGTTGGATTCTTTTGGAGCGACCAAATCAATATCACCGGTTCAATTATAGCCTGTCTTTTCATTTAGAAAATTGAGTCAGCACAATTGCTTTCAGAATAGTTATATTGTTTAAGGCAAATGTTCCAAGAATTCAGTGTTCATAGGCAATTCTTACTTTTTCGCAGCCTTGACAAGAAAATACAAAAGCTTAAGAATGCAACCAAAAATCCAATTCTTCACCAAAAGACTTAATAAAGCTAGAATGCTTCGCCGAAGAGATAGCAAAACTAAGAGAGGCTCTCAATTGCAGAATATCCCTTCCAAAGATGGCTGAAGGGTCATGCCCTTCATTGGAGTTAAACTACACGCAACAACGCCTTCATATTACTACATTAAACCAGTGGCTTCAGCACTAGTATCAATGCTTTTGCCTTCAATTCAAAATGCCAAGGCGTAATTGACCTCTTCAACGTGTTCTGATGATACCTCGGAAAAACTCCGGGACGGTGCTATAGGTCCGGATTAGCGACGTCACACTTCGCAGTAAATACACGAGATAATGTTTCTACGCGACAATGTCGCAGCTGTTTCAGCGGTAACAGTTCCACAAAACAGAGAAAATCCACCCAAGGTTTCCCATACTGAAGCTTAATCACGCACCGAGAGTGAATTTGGAGCCATTGCAATTATTCTCCACCCAATTGAGTGGTTTTGCGCAGATATATGGCCGTCTAAAAGTCTCGGAACAACGGATGTAACGGCTGCGCGACATCTGAGTCAAGTAGCTAGTCCGGGGTTGCCTCGAACCATATAAATATCCCCTGCTCCACAAACTTGATCACCAACAAAAATAACCAATGTCCCTTTTTAGATCTTTGCAAAACACACCCGCTACAATCTCCATCTTCCACAATGCTCGTGTTCCCTCTCTGGCCAGCTTGTTTGCTCATTTGGAGAGGGCTTACTATCAATTGAACGATGATAAGAACCTCTTTCAATTGGACATGAATGCTAAGAAGATGCCCACCTACGATCAGTTTAAAACCATCTACTCCAATTGCGTCAGAGGAGACCGTTGTCAGACTGTTTTGAAGGAGTGCTTCCCCTTGCTTAACGATAAATTCACACAGTCGGAGCACTCCTCGGTCACGGTGAAGAGCCTTGGTATCAGAAATGACAGAGGGTTCAAAATTTTCTCTCAGAATGAGTACACACACATCCACGAGGCTTTTGAGAAGCTTATTGATGAGCAAAACCCCGAGATAGACCCCAATGAGCTTTTCCAAGCTCCATTGCTCATTGACTGGGACCAGAACATCATTGCCAATGACATGGACGGGTTGAAGTTGATTTTGAAAAAGTACAAGGAGGCAGCTAAGGAGAAGTGACGGAGCTTTGGCTCAGTGGCATGCAGCTGATTTAGCTGCAATAATAATGAACTTAGACGTTAACGACCCCATATATTAAATAATATTTATCGTGAAAAGCATCATCAAGGATACATCGTGAGAAGTATTATCGTTCTCAAATAGGATAAGCCTGAAAGTTCTAGGCGACAAACCGAATAACCCATAACTGGGCTATAGGCCATCACATGTCAGTTATCAGCCTCAGTGTAATTGATAAGGGCAAGAGGGATTCACAAATGGGTGCCGAAGAAACACGATGTACAAGCTACCTCTATTTCATAATAAGGTTTTGAACGAGGCGATCTGGGCAACTCATTTGACTATCCTATATCGACAATCTCTACAGAATCTTTTTGCCGCTCCCTAACTATTTCCCACTGATAGTATTACATCATTGCATGATCCCTGATTGGGGAGACCTGAGCTCGATATGTCAACTTTTGCCGGAGACCCTTATATTGCACAAAAAAAAGAAGCCCAACGTTCATGCCAAAGTCGAGGCGTTTTCTGTATCGGCTAAGTCCAACGATACCCCGACCGTATTGTCATGCGCAAGGGCAAAAAGACGGGCCACAGAGCCGAGTGGAATTGTCGATAAGGAGTATTTCTGCGGCATTATTGCTTATCACAGAATCTGGGACCGATCGTGGGGAAGTGACACCGAACCTCCCTTTTTTGGAAGTTTTGGAAGTTTTGGGAGTTTTCATTGATAATGGTTAGAGAAGAGAAACAAGAAAGGGTGCTCTTTCGTCTACTGACGAAGGGCTGTTCTGGCCCAAGAGTTACTTTTGAAACCTGATGCAACTGGACGTTTCCAGAAATGAAAAGGAAAACGGGACCGTTTCAAAAACGGATTAGATGCACGAGAGGATAATTTGACACTGACACATGTTCCTGAGGATAACATTGTCAGGGTGTTTTGGAACCGCGATATGCCCGCATAAACCTTAATTGTGGGCTAAATGTAGTGTGAGCGATCGAGAATACAGTGCCACTTCCTGAATTTCTGAAGCTTGGAAAATCGAGAATGTGGAACAGTGGCTTTTTTTCTGCTTCTGCTCGTTCCTAGTTTCACCTCATGTAAATTCTCGCTGAAACACACAGCCTGGCGTGGCTATCTGTGGCTGTTGATTAAGCCCTGCGGCAGATTTCGTTAATTAGCGAAATGGGAGCCGCTTCAACAAAATCGAAGCCGTACGGCACTGTCAAAGCATGCAGGCTGTCAAAGCCTACTTTGACGGTCAAGCGAGAAGTATGTTTTTGGGCACAGCGTTTGGGTAGAAGTACGCAACGAATTTGAGCAAAATTTCACGCCGTTGATGCACAGAAAGTTTTTGTGTCGATCGGGTGGCATATATATACGAAGCTGGATATTCTTGGCACAACCATGAAACGACGCATAGAAATACCCGCGGGGCTGGAGGGGCAGGAAGTGCCGAAGCAGGTGCAGATTTGCAGCCACACCACAGACCAGTCTTATCTCTCCAAGATAAATAGTCAGAGATGTTCAGCGATTTTCAGAATCAAACCAGAAAGACATGTCAGAGAAGGCTTTCCACGTTACTAGTGTGTCGAGCCACCATGCTACTGATAGGCTTGACGCCGAGGCTCATGAGGTGGACTTGGCTGCAGTTACCTCACACCAGTTCTCGTTGAACGAGGTTGCTGGAGAGCTTACACTGGAACAAAAATTCTACATTCTCAAGAGATTGGAGTTTGGCCATCTTGAGAGTTTGGATGACATGCCGCCATCTGCGGTGTTCATGATGGAGAAAATCCAGGAGTTGGATCTTCACGATGCAGAGAACATCTTGACGGAGTTCTTGAAGGACCACAATGGTGATGTCAATATTCCCATGGAGGACTACGACTTCATCGAGCTCCTTACCGAAACAGGCTCCAACGGGAAAACTGCAGGACTCAACCAGGCTCTTGACCACTCTTCTGCAGACGAAAAGCAGGAAGCGTTTGTTCAGGAACACTCCATCACTCTGCTTGAGTCGAATGATCTCAAGAAGGTTTTTGACAGAGATCTCCAACTCAAGACAGAGGCTGCCTTGGTGGCATACTGGTCGCCATACCCTGAGGTGAGAGCCGTGACTGATCCTTTCGATGATCCCTCCATTCCATGCGAGACCTTCAGAGCGTACCTCGTGGGTATTATCTGGGTTGTCCTAGGCACTTTTATCAATGAGTATTTCATGGAGAGACAGCCTCCAATCTCTTTGGGTACCGCTGCTGTTCAGCTTTTTGTGTACCCAAGTGGTAAGCTTGCAGAGTGGATCCTTCCAGCCGTATCTTTTAAGGTTTGGAAGTACAACATCAACTTGAACCCGGGCCCTTGGAGTCACAAGGAGCAGTTGCTTGCCACATTGTTTTACAGTGTCAGTGGAGGTGCTGCCTACGCTTCATACTTCATCATCTTGGAGAAGTTGGACATTTTTTACGGTAACCCAGCCTTCACGATCGGCACACAGTTCCTTCTTGTGTTGACTTCCAATTTCATGGGTTTCGGTTTGGCTGGTCTTTTCCGTAAATTCGTTGTCTATCCTGTGACTGCAATCTGGCCCACCCTCCTTCCAAACCTTGCTATTAACAAGGCGTTGGTGCAACCAGAAAAGAAGGAGAAAATCAACGGATGGGTCATCTCAAGATACTCCTTCTTCTTGATTGTTTTCGCCGCTTCCTTCTTTTACTTCTGGATTCCCGACTATCTTTTCACGGCATTGTCTACTTTCAACTGGATTTCCTGGGCTGCTCCAAATAACTTGAATGTGGCCACCATCACAGGCTCTCAAACAGGACTTGGTCTTAATCCCATCACCACTTTTGACTGGAACATAATCAACAACACCCCGTTAGCTATTCCATTCTTCGCCCAGCTTAATGCTTACATCGGCTCCTTAGTCGGTTTCGTCGTCATTGTCGCTCTTTGGTGGACAAATTACAAGTGGACTGCTTACTTGCCTATAAACTCTAACCAGATTTTCACCAACACTGGTGAGCCTTATGCTGTGAGAGAAGTGTTGAACAGCGAGCAGAAGCTTGACCAGGCCAAGTACGAAGAAATCGGTCCTCCATTCTATACTGCTGCTAACTTGGTGGTTTACGGTACATTCTTCGCCTTGTACCCCATGAACTTTGTCTATGTCTTGCTTACACAGTTCAAGCAGATTAAGGTTGCTGTATTGGGTCTCGTCAAGTCGTTGAACTTCAAGAAAGCTCGTTCCACCTACCAAGACTTTGATGATCCTTTCTCGACTTCAATGAAGAAATACCCAGAGGTTCCAGAGTGGTGGTTCACCATTATCCTTGTCATCACTGTCGTGTTGTCGATCATCACTGTTGAAGTCTACAAGTTGCAAACCCCAGTGTGGACTATCTTCTTTGCTATTGCCATGAACTTCGTCTTCTTGTTGCCATTTGCTGTGGTTTACGCTGCTACTGGTACACAAATGTCGATCAACGTTCTCCTTGAAATGATCATGGGTTATGCCCTCCCCGGAAATGGTACAGCCTTGAACTACGTCAAGACTTTGGGAACCAACATTGACGTCCAGGCCGAGAACTATATCACAAACCAGAAGCAAGCTCACTACTTGAGAATCCCACCCAGATCCCTTTTCAGAGCACAGTTGTTGTCTGTGATTATCAACAGTCTCATGTCTGTGGGTGTGTTGAACCTTGCTATCAACGAGGTGCAAGACTTCTGTCACCCACACCAGCCTCAGAAATTCACCTGTCCCGGTTCTACAACAGTGTATTCTGCTTCGGTGTTGTGGGGTGTCATCGGACCCAAGAAGGTGTTTGGTGGTCTCTATCCTATTTTGCAGTGGTGCTTCTTGATCGGCTTCCTTCTTGCTTTCCCATGTTGGGCTCTCAAGAAGTACTACGGAAGAACCATCATCGGCAAGTACTTCCACCCCATTGTGTTTTGCTTTGGCATTATGATTTATGCCCCTTATAACTTGTCGTACTACACTCCTGGTATGATCTTGTCTTTCTTCTTCATGTACGTGATCAGAAAGAACTACACTGCCTGGTGGGAGAAGTACACTTATATTCTCTCCGGAGGTCTCAATGGTGGTATTGCTTTCAGTTCCATCATCATCTTCTTTGCGGTGCAATACCACGAAAAGGATATCAGCTGGTGGGGCAATAATGTTAACAACAAGGGTCTTGATGCCATGGGACCTTCACTTCGTAATGCGACTGCCGAAGCGCCTGGTGGCTACTTCGGCCCCAGAAAGGGCAACTTCCCTTGAGTTATATTTAAAGAATGAGTTTTTGAGATCTTGTAGAGCAGTTCATAGATTACCCAATCGGTTTTCATGATGATAGGGCACTTGACCATTTTGGAGCTTACGGACCCGTTCAATTGGGAAGCTATGAAGGAAACCCAAGTAGATTTTAATTATAGTTAACAAGTAGTAGTCAATATGGAGAATTAGGTGACTCTGAGGCACTACTGGAGAGGTAGTCTTGTACTGTTGTGTACTCAAGAGACTCGTCGGGGGAATGTTAAAGTAACCTTCTGAAAACTTCAATATCTTCAAAAACAAAAGTACATTTCCTGTCATCGCTTCTATTCACCCCGTTTCGGCCTACAACAAGCAAGCGCAAATTGGAAATCTACCTCGCACATGTTTTCGCAGCCAATCTAAACATCACCACTTACTACACCTTTTTTAGCCAGAATACTCATGCTCAAGCTATACTTATCGGCATATAACGCCACCTCCGCCATTGCATGGGCGGCAATTCTCGGCCAGACCTTCCTCGACGTGCTTCCTGGCGGATTCTACGAAACCCATGCTTACACGGATTACCCACATAAGCTTCTTGTCCAAGTCCAGGTGGTAAATGCCGTCTTTGAGATCACCCATGCGCTTACAGGTCTTGTGCCCTCACCCCTCTCGTCGTTGTTGCTCCAGTTTTTCGCTAGACTTATCATCACGGTGGGTATTTCTTGGTACGTTCCCGAGTCAGCAGGAAACTTCTCTCTACCAGGATACGTGGCGCTTTCTGTGGCCTGGTCTGTGACTGAGGTCATTAGATACAGCTTCTACTTTGCCAAGCAACAGGGCAAGGTCCCAGAGACTCTTCAATGGCTTCGTTATCTGGCCTTTATTGTGTTGTATCCATTGGGCGTTATCAGTGAGCCTTGGGTGGTGCACTTAACCTTGGATTACGTGCTGGGCTTCTACTACTGGTTCTTGGCCTTGGGAATGTTTTTGTACATCCCTGGATTTGTGAAGTTGTACACGTATATGTTGGTGCAGCGGAGGAAGAACCTCGGTGTGAAGAAGACCGAGTAGGGGCATTGTGGTGCCTAAGCCTGAAGACAATTGTGGAATACTGGGTGGTAGTTGGAGGACGCTTTGTGCCTGTAATGGCGAAAACGAATTCAATTACAAATTTGGCGTGCTGAGACATCTACTGACCGTCTTAACCGGCCATCATGACTCCTCTCGATACGCCATTTCGGTCAGACTCCACACAACTCTCATAACTGGGCATCGTCTACGTGGAATAGCTCTTATTCCCAAACTTATTTAAATTCTTCTTAACAATTCTGTTCAATTCACATACTGCTAATTTCCCCATCCTCCAGATTCCTGGGTCAGTGCGACTCAATTACTACTATAGTCACGGAGAGAACGCGAAATTCACTAATTTCAACTACTCATGTCTACTCTCGACGAAAGCCAATTCACGACACAGGAGTCCAAGCACCCCAAGAGATGGTTGATTGCCTACAATTCCATCTCGTCCTCTTTATGGACACTCGTGCTTTTCAACACCTTCTTCCTCCATCGCTTCCTCGGTCCCATCTTGTTGTTTGAGAAGCTGCGCATCTTCCTCATCTTTGTCCAGTCGCTTGCCTTAGTTGAGGTGATCAATTCTGCTACTGGTGTGGTGAGATCGCCACTTTTCACCACGGCGTCTCAGGTCGCCTCGAGATTGTTGATTGTGTTGGGCATTTTCCTCGTTTTGCCTTACTCTCCAGCCAACTACCACTGGGTCTACGTCTCGTTGAACACCGCTTGGGCAGTGACAGAGATCGTGAGATACTCCTACTACGCTCTGAACTTGAGAGATCCAGAAAACGTGCCTTACGTGCTCACGTGGCTCAGATACACCCTTTTCTACGTGTTATACCCAGCTGGTGTGGCGTCCGAGGTGTCCATCATCTACCTCAGTCTTGGCGAAGCCGAGAGAGCTGTGGGTATCTGGTACCGCTACTTCCTTACCGCAATTCTCTTCACGTACCCACCAGGTTTGTATAGTTTGTACACCTACATGATCAAGCAGAGAAAGAAGGTATTGGGAGGCGCCAAGAAGACGTCGGAGGGCAAGGAAACCAAGAAGACGGAGTAATGGTGTGACTCGTATGCATAGCTTAAGGGAATCGTTTATTATAAACATGCTTTCGTTACATTATCTATCCCAACAGTTCAATCCACACCAATAGGTGGTCAATGTAGTCTATCACGGTATCGCCGTCAACAAAGTCGTGGGGCTGGGTCGCTTTCTTTTTGGACCCGCCAAACCAAGCCAGCAACGAGAATTTGCCCTGTTTGCTGTCAACTGCCTGGAGCTTGAATTTTTCAAAAACAACCCGGAAGTTGGTTCTCACCTCAACAGGGTCTCGCTGCTGACAAAGCTTGATCAATGAATGGATGACCAAGTATGATGGCACGTAGTTATACCAACGCAACTCCCAAGCCACAAGCTTCATGATGTGTACGAGCATCGTATCAAGTGCCATGTAGCCATTCACAAGCTGATGGACAAAGTCACGGAACATCTTGGTCAGGATACTTTGCACAATGAGTTTGTTGGTATAGGAGCGATTGTCGTAGACACAACTGAGCAGATCGATGGTGGAGGCCTCCACATCACTGAGGACAAACTCATTGTAAATCTCTAGGAGTTTCACTGTAGCGTAGTAATCAAATCCACCGTCAGAAGTCACGCCAGCGGCACAAGTGGCTAACGAGGAGATGCTGTCCTTCAAGTTATACTTGCAGCCCCAGCTCACGAGGCCAATCATGCCCCAGGCTAAGGCGCTGCGGTGCTGATCAACATCGCTTCCACCAGAGACAGTCATCATTGTGTGAATATCGTCGTAGACAACCAAGAAAAATTGATCGAGCCATGGTGCACATTCTTCCTTTTGAGCGCTAGAGGCGTTTGAGACCACAAACTCCTTGCTTTGCGCCAGATCGATTGGCGACCGGAATACCTTCTTTTTGATGGCAACCAAGTTCTCCCAGCCAATTAAGGCGACCAAAGATGTAAGCAAGTCGTAAACCCTGCCCCAAGTGGACTTTCTGTCAAAGTCAAGGATGGAAGACCAAGGGACATTCGCCGAACGGGCCGCTAGCATGTTCTTCGCAGATGACGGGCCCGCCACGCGGACAAGTCCGCTGTCAATGACAGACATTTCCATGGGGCTTGCCGTAGTCAACGGTGATTGATAAAAGGGACCCACCATTGGATGTCTTGCCGACTCCTTTTTGAACATACCGTGCCACACAGATTGGACAGAGCCCGCTTCCGACATGTCCTCGTTGCGAGGCACTGGGAAGTAATCGGCAAATGTGTCTGCCATTATAGGAATGTGTCCTCGAGACAGTCTATCCATGAAGGTCAGCACATATACGTCTGAAATGCCATCGACACAGTCTCCGTCGTAACTTTTCCTTGACAGGAGAAGCACAGGCAACGAGTTGAGCGCCTGCAAAGCATCGTCGTACTTCTTTTCAAGAATGTAACAAACACACAAGTTGTACCACGAGTCAAAGTCCAATGGCAACATGGTCACAGCTCGAATAGCAAGCTGGCGAGCCACAGCAAAAGATTCTCTCGAAATAAGAAACCTCACTTGTTCACCAATAAGTACAGCAGCCTGGGTGCTGTCAGTATCAACCGCCATGTGGTCCCTCAAAAGTGAAAGAAACTTTTGATTATTATTGCTTCCATGCTGCGCTCTAAGAAGCCTAGCCTCAACTGCCGTGAACTCACGGGCAGCAAATTTCGCTCTTATTTTGTCAAGCGCCCAGTCGGTAGCACCACCACTGGGGTCAAGCAAAACCACACGAACCAACGCATCAACAAGCCGGTTTCTGTATCTAGTAGTTTTGGCAGGATCGGTACCACAATTGCAGGCCACGCCATAGTGGGATCGTGAGCCTGTTAAGTGACCACGAGGTAAAAAGGAAACAAGGAGCTCAATGGTATTCTGCAACTGCTCCTTGTTCTGAAGCTGTGATTTGTGAGAAACAGTACCCAGGAGACGATGAGCCGGGTCATCAACCCCAACAATCATTCGTAGCAACAGCAGCACCGCGAGCTCTCGTAGAAACGACAGTGTAATGTCCTGAGAATGTTCGCCAATGTAGGTATGCAGCTTTTTTGATATTTTGGAAGTGATGGTGTATTGAGAATTCACTACTACACTCAGCGATTTTGGGGAGGGCGTGATCATATACCTGGCCTTAAACTCCAGCTTTTGAAAACAATTATACGCACAGAATGTCACCACTCCTTCCTTGTGTTGCGCCAGCCCAAGCCGGGGCGCTAGTGCCCCTTTGGGTGCCCATATATACGACTCACCGTTTCTTCGTAGGCCAATGCTGTGGAGAACCTGCTCTTCGATGGAGTTTGTCCCACGCGCTAGGTCGAGTCCATAGCAGAAATGGTAAAATCCGACATATCCATCTTGGTCCCTTGGCGGATCTGCCTCGCTTATGGGCGAGAAGTCGTTCTTGAGGAAATGCGACGACCGCTCGCCATATTGTCGAGCCCAATGGATGAGATCAGCGGGACCTAGAGGTGACGTCTTCTGCTCGGCGATTGCCTTTGCTCGATTCCCCAAATTCTGACCTAGAGTGGCTTCTCGGATCCACGGAACAGTGGTTGCATTGATTGAGGTATGGGAACTGAAGGATGAGTGGCGCCTCCGTCGCTGAGAGTCGGACAGCATTTTTGACGAATAGGAAAATGCTTAAGTGGAATTGAGCTCCCACTATGATTGTCGTCGTAGCTTGTTTTGAATGTGGTACTGCTTGATGCCAAGGTGGAAAGTGAAGTGCAGTTACTGGTTAGTTACACACGTGACCACAATGAAAGCCGCGACCGGCTGCAAAAATGGCTGCAAAACCCGCTCATTGACCTCCCGTGGCAGCACTGATGAGATTTTTGACTTCGTCCATAAGCGTCCAGATATCCGGACTGCGGAAGAAATCAATCTTACCGTCACCACCATTCAGCAGAAGCATTGTTTGACGAAGCTCAAGGTTGGCAATGCTATTCTCAATCCTCGTTACCAGGTGATTCAACAAGGCAACGAGTTCCATTTCCTTGAACCGCTGAGCTGTCGACTCCAGGATTACCTCAGACGAGTTCTTCAGGAAAGACTCATCCATTCTCATTCCCACGTTTACTGCAGCACAAATGTTCTCCAAACGAAGCGAAAGCGTCCTCAACTGATACACGGCATCAACAGGCACAGCACCCACAATCCGTCCCTTAAACATGTCATCCTCATCAGCTCTCTTCTTGAAAATTTCAAATCTTAGCTCAAGTCTCTTTGGGTAGGCCAAGGTGATCATCTCGGGAGTTTCGAGGCCCTTCAACTTTCTTTCGCCAAGCTGGAAATAAGAGACCCCGATTTCCTCTAGCGAAGCAATTTCCTTCTCGATAATCTCTCCCGCACGAAGGTTTCCTTCGTAAGCAGCCTCCAACGATGTTTGACCGGATGCGATCAAGTCGTGGATGTTATACAACTGTTCCATCTCATGAAGATAGTCCGAGCTCACAGCAATTTGACCACCATCGGCACTTGACTCAATTCTAGAAGCACGGTTCACCATGGGGCCGAAATAATCCATTCTTTTGGTAACCATATCAAGCTCGCACACAGGAGAGCCCCAGTGAATACCCATACGAACAGACAAGCCTCTGAAAATGACATTGTTTTTGTTATCAGTCACTTCACAACACTCGTTCGTCTCCAATATCTCTGATGGCCACTCCTCATTCAACAATTGGTACTGGACATTGAAGCACCACAACAAGGCTGATGTGGGCGAAGGGAATGTAACCATAAAAGAGTCTCCTTCTGTTTTCACCTCATAACCACCAACAATTCTGAGCTGCCGACGCATAATTGTGTTATGCAACTTGATAGCCGATCTCATGACCACGGGGTATGTCTCCCATAAAAGCGTGGAGTTCTTGATATCCGTAAAGACTAAAGCGAGGTCACCCACGGGCGGCTCGATCTCATTATCCAAAGCTCTGAGAGCTG